ACTTCACTATTAATAATTGTTCGAAACACCTTTCTCAATGGATGCGTGGTCGTTAATTTTTAAATGCCATAAACTGATGTGTTGATTCTAACACAACCATGCATTTACACTCTTTGCCTATTTTAATTAGTGTCAATTCACCTCTACTAGCTTGTGAGGTCTGATTTTGGCTTCTTTGGTGTTGTTGCAGCGTAATCGGGCGCTCAAAGAAAACCAAACACGTTTATGGGACAAATGGTAGCGACTGTAGCGCGATTCATATGTCGCTGTAGTTTAAACTTTAAGATGTGCAAGATGGTGCTTTCATATTAATATTTCAGCTTCCATGCAGCATCACTCGCGCACGAATCGCACGATTAAATTTCTTTATAATTCATTAAAATGACAAAAACATTTCATAAAAAAACAAGGAAAAAATAAAAAAACCTTTCATAAAAATTACAAAAAGAATCACTGACGCAAGGCTTCTTGTAGCATTGTAGTTCTATACAGATATGCTTCAACGGTCCAACCTTTTGGAGCGTGTCATCTGTTTTGCAAAGATGCCTACAATTGTATGGTTGACGCACACGGTTAGCTGTACTCGCGCGCAGTATAACCTGATGGTATACAGAACCTATAATTTCCGAATCAGAATTAGTCAATCAGAGACTCATTCGTATTTATATTTCGGAAACATATCAATCACAGTACAATGGGCTGTAATTTGGAGCTAACATCCCCACCCATACAACTTAAAACCTACCTGGAAATCATCGGCTAACTGGACACGGTCTAATGACTGAGACAGTCTGACTGTGTGCCACCTGTTGACACAATACGTACTGAGGCAAATCACGAAAACGTTTCTATCCAATTTTAAAAGCATAAAAATATTAGGATGTCGTAATTACTGTATATAATTTGCGGCACTGGGCGGCAAATAGTTTGAACACCATGGAGCAGGTGAACTTATTCCGGGGGGTACCCTTATTTGTCAAATAATTAATTTGTCAGTTTCGAATCAATGTTTTTTGTTGATTTTTTGTCCCCGCCGGTTACGTGCTCGAACATCATATAAGACCCTTCGAGGTCATCAGGGTCCGAAAAGCACGTACTACCATAAATTAATAATTTTGCCTGAGCACAGCTGCCTTCTAAAGCTGAGCATCATCATTTTAAGGGAAGTGACCAGGTGCATGGTACCAACTTCGTGTACAGTACAAGGTTAAAATTAGTAGCTATGTCGCGTCCGCGGACCGACCGTCCGATTTCTACTTGTTTGTGTCATGCGCCATTTTATGGTTGAAATCAGATTTCAAGGGTTTAGACGGAAACAGGTGTTCGAGGATAAGGATGTCCAATTTACTCTGTGCTCACCTGCCTAGAGCTAAGCGAGTTACCATACTAATTGGCGTGTCGGAGTGTGGCTACACAATGTACACATGGTAGGTTGGAAAATAGCTTGATTACCCAAAATAAGTGGGTTGCATTCGATATCCTCGCCCTCGTTCGAAAAGTTGCAATATGGGCCGATCTATTAATTTTGCATGTAAGCGCACAAAGGTATGAAGATCGTTTTTGATCTAAAGAGGTTCTGGAAGTTTTTCAAACTTTGAAAAGAATTTCGAAAATTTCCATATTGAAACTTGGAATACATGGGTTTGTGTCCGGAATTTTATTTCATCCATAAACACTTTAACCGGATATTTCGCAACCTACCGGTTCGCACGCCAATGTACTAGGTATTAATTAAAAGATACGAACTGGCTGTACAATCTCACTGCACTACTATAGGGCCCGCTCGCACATCGTGGATCACAAAGCTTGTGTACGGTAAACACAGCGCTGGCAGTGCGTGTAGTGTTTTAAGGCTGTCTGAGATTGTATATTATTGACGCATAATTATACGAGTACATAGTAAAATTATTAATCACATTTTCGCTAAAATAAGCACTGATAAATATTACGTATTATAGTGGGACCCAATTTGTACCTATACGAGTACTAGCTTTCACAAATTTGTGGAAGCTAGTATAGGTACAACTGTTGCCACCTTTAAAGGTGGCAACAGGCAAGTTGTACGAAAGAAGTCCCCAGAAACGCTTAAAAAATGATAAAAAAATCATCTACCATGGGCAAAGGGGGGCGTGGCTAGACAGAAATTGTAAATATATGGAAATATGTAATCACATAATAACTCTGTGCAATGCAGTGCATGCAAGTTATTTGTATAATTACCTTCTTTTCAGTTTACAGTACTTTGCTATTTCATGCTTTTGCAAGTGCCGAGTAGTGACGTGACTGAAGCCCCGTGCGGTGGCCTATGCCGCTGCTGGCTTAGTACACATTTTCAAAAATTCTTTATGATGTATAGTACGAATCTGTTTCTTGTAGAATTTTTATAATACTGCCTGCAAAACTCATCGGTAACGAATTTTCGAGAATGTGCACCAACCAGGACCCCGTCACCGGATGTAAATTCAAAAATTCTCATCTTTTACAGAAAGCCAGAGGAATATTAGGATAAACGAAAAAAATAGTTTCACTTTCATCTGCCATGGTCAATGGGCGTGGCCAAAAGACGCTTTGACAATAAATTCTATACTATGCGGTAGCCGTTGGACAGTGCACCGCATCATACGTTGAGAAGTTTCTGAAAACCTGTACGAGCCCAATTTGAGTACTCGTAATTACCAATCATCAAAATAAGGAACTGTGCAAATCCATCGCTGCTGAAAAAAGGAGTGTAAATTGTACCATCTCCAGAAACGGTGAACAATGATTACAGACATTTACAGTGCACGTCATAAACTGAAGATTTTCTGCCGGCGGAAGTTTTGTGAGGTCAAAACGACGGCGAAATTTCTCGTGGTCAAAATGCCGGCGGAATTTTCGTAATTTTTTAATTTCATTAAATTCGTTTGTTTTAAAAAATTGGCATCTGAAGAATTTTGCGAAAACAGATAGGCAAATCAGTGCTGGGATCTTAATGCTGGTATCAGTTGCAGCAATCGGCAAGCAGTAGCTGACCGGGCTACTGCTCAGCGCCGGCGCCGGCGCCAAGAAAATATTGTCTGCATGCGGCATGCATTAAGCGCCGTCAGTTGGCAAATCATCTGGATGACACCATTAAATTAAAAAGTTGAGCTGGTTGCAATCGCAAAGTTCCGGGCTGAAATTCAGCTGCAGTGGTGTTGAATTCAAGACAGGCGTGTTCTTTTGTTATTGTGTTTTTTTGTTGCTTTGTTAGCTTGTTTAGCGGCCGAGTTTGGATTAGCTGATTGGTATTAGAGCACGTACGTATGTTCTTTTGTAACTGCGTTTCTTGTTTGTTTGTTTTTTTAATTTTTCAACCTTTTTGAGTTGTAGTTCTCGTTTGTTGTTGTTGACTGTTTATCTTCCGAATAATGACGTATACATACAGTAGATCCATAGTACGTACATAGAATATCCAGCTTGTACTTACTATATGAATTACTTACTGTAGTTTACCATAAGTTGGTTTTGTATCAATTTGTGATATCCGTAAAAAAATTCATGTACAGGAATTCCGCCGGCAGTTCGACCACGAGAATTTTTGCCGGCGTTTTGACCACACCAAATCTCCGCCGGCAAGAAATTCCACCGTCGTTTTGACCTTACAAAATTTCTGCCGGCAGAAATTTCCGCCGTCGTTATGACATTGGCCTATAGCGCTATGTGTAGATATCGTGCAGCATCATTTGACGTCCACAGATAAAAGTCTGGAAAATAAAACTTTGAAGTACACGGATAAAAGCTCTGCACGATTGTTTGAATTAAATTGGCCGTGTAAAAGTTGTTCGATAACGTATTAACGTACGATGCGGTGCATTGCCCATAGGCCATAGACTACAGCGTAGTATAGAATTTATTGTTAAATTGTGTTTTGGCCACGACTGATGAAACCATGACCATAGACAGATGAAACCATGACCATGAAACCATTCATTGACCATGACAGATGAAACTATTTTTTTCTTTATTCTAATGTTCTTCTGATTTTCTGCAAAGGATCAGAATTTTTTTAATTTACATCTGGTGAAGGTGCGTCGGTGACGGACCGCAGTTGGACTTCGGTTACCTCGGGCATCTGCAAAAGTCTACGGTACTGCAATAAAATCTTTATTAGTAACAAAAGCACTATGCATTAGTGCATGCGATAAAGGAATGCATAGAACATCTGTGACACTAACACCACCGAGCGATTTAAAATTGCGTGTTCGAACACACACACAAAATAGCCGGAAAAAAGCATTTGCATCGGCCGACGGTTCGCGGTAGTAGTAATAATTTTACATTTTCAATAGGCAACCGGCTATACGTGAAACCCAAAAAACCGTTTATTCAACGGGCTAGTCAACGGCAACGATTATAATTAAGGGCTTTGTATACTTTTAGGAAAAATTGCATATAAACTTTCAGTATTTTTGGTAATTTCGCTGTTTGCTTTTGACGATCAAGAAACTAATAAAAGTGCACCGTAATTCACTTTTATTTTTTGTTGTTCGTTACACTGTGGGTAATATAAAACAGAACCGCTCAAACTATAATAAAAAAATCTCTGTAAGCTTATCCACTCCATCCATGGTGCCCAGTACTGACGCCGCGTTCCCCCGTTGAATCTCAATCGACAGGCGCTGTCGAAGAAATTCGTGCGAGCGTATTCCGGTTTGTCGCAGTCTTTACCCAGCTCCTTGACGATGGCGATGGCCGCCGCTCAAGGGCCAAACGTTTCAAAGCGATTGGGACAAAGATATAACGGCCGTTCAGATAGAATACAGTCTGATTTTTCTTTCTCGGCTTGCGGCGGCGGCTCCCGCTGTGGCGGACGTTGCTTTAACATGTGACGCGGCCACTGTGTCTACGCATGTCACATCCCATGCTAGACACATTCCGCGTTTCCAGGCGAATGTCGTACAGCCATCTGGGCGGCGTTCCGTTGTAGATGTTCCGCGCGCTAACTTACACCAGCACGCATGCTCTGCAAATGATACTGTTTAATCCACCGACGTGGATGCCCCGCGGAAAACGCGCATGACAATCCGTGGTGACACATAGCCATGCTGACTACATTCCGTTTCCAGGCGAATGTCGTACAGCCATCTGGGCGGCGTTCCGTTGTAGGAGATGTCGCGCGGCTCTAACTTTGCTGGCACACCCGCAGACACGCATGCTCTGCAAATGATACTGTTTAATCCACCGTGACGTGATGCCTTCGCAGGAAAACGCGCATGACAATCCGTGGTGACCATAGCCATCGACGGGTTTGTAGCATTTGTTACAATCATGGGTATCACAGATCGTAGCACCTAGACGCAAACCGACGCTGATTTTCAGCATCGTCGTCCAGCAAGTTTCCAATGTGAGCTGAAGGCAATGCGTTCAACCAGATGCCGGCTTCTGGCCTTGACTGGGCAAGCAAGCGGGCTGTATTCACTTCGTCACCTCGAAACACGTCCAATAACGTTGACAGTGAAACGTTACAAAGTGGCAGATCCCAGGCTTTTTGGGACTTCCGGAGGGCGAGTTCTGGGATATCAGGCTGACGGGAACCTAGTTTCCATAAATCAAGGGCTTCAGTAACGTTTACCACCCCGTAGTCTGGAAGCAGCATGGACACCAAGCCGGACACGGAATGAATCGAAGCCAAAAAGGCTGGGAGAGATAATTCTTGCGACCGGCGGATGCCGATTCCGCCTCTGCTAACAGGTAGAGATGCCTGACGCCAGCAGGGATAGTCGTCGTGATTGGTACGCACATTGGACAACTTCTGGAAACATTCGCGCAATGTTTCATCTAACTGATAAAGCAGCTTGGGATATCTCCATGCGTTACAACATCGTAGCATGTAGATAATTTTCGGTGCGCCGAGGCAGTTTTTCAGGAGAAACAGCGCATGATGGCTTGGAAGTACTTGCAACCGTTCACAGACCAATGTCAACGTTTTGGCTTTTTCGTCCAATAATGGTCCGACAGCTTCGTCCAGTACAGGAGCACCGAGTAATGACATGGTAGATTTCGACAGAATGCGCAGTTTGGGATAAAGTTCAAGAAAGTTCTCTGTGACTTTACGTTGGGACTCAGCTGATCCACCGAGAACAAGCAGTTCGCATTTAGACTCGTTCACCTGCAAACCTATGGCCATCGCGCCTTGAATAATTTCGGCAAAACTCGCGGCAACTGCCTCTGGTGTTCCGCCCACGGTTCCGTCGTCGAGAAACCACGCGTTCAATTTCAACCGCAATGCGATTAGCACTGCTCGGAGGGCCAGGCTGAACAGTAAAGGGCCTAGAGGATCGCCCTGTTGAACGCCGGATTCGGAAGACAGCAATAATTCCTCGAAAAATAACACAGAATGGTGGCCGTAAGCACTACGTAGAAATTCACTGTATTCAGGAAAATGTTCATGCGCTGCGGCCAGGACGGCGTCCCGTGAGACTGTGTTGAAGGCGTTCTTGAAATCGATTTTGAGAACCACCTTCGTCGTATCAGCATCCGATTCCAAGAACAACCTGGTGGCATGCACGATAGCCTCGGCACCGCCACGCACGTTAACCCCAGCTGCTGTGGAGACAAGATGGCGGCTGTTCGGTCCGTTAAACGCGCGCAGATGATCTTGGCAGCCAGCCGGCGGATGGTCAGACCAATCGCAATAGGGCGCAGACCGCCGTCCTTCTTCCGCAAGGCGATAAGTTTCCCTCCGAAGAGTACGGGGCGCGTGTCTGCAGGCACCTTACCATCGATGATGATGTTTAATACAGCAGCAAGTGCATCGCAGAATGGTCCTGATTGGTCGTCCAATTTCGATCCAGCCATATCTAAAAGGTGCTGCGGTCTTAAGCCGTCCGGCCCTGCTGCTGATCCCTTTGGGAAGCTATGGATAGCTGCGAAAACTTCCTCACGGGTAATGCGGGCAGCGGCTGGTGGAGGCGGGTCGAGGCGAACCAACACAGGAGGGGCGCTCTGGGGGCGCTTCTCTCGTAGTTCTTGCAGAACATCGGGACTGGGTTCAACAATGGCATCTGAGGACATCACGATTCTCATCGCTCCCGAGAGTGAGCCGTCGTCGATCTTCTGTCCCACTCTACGGGCAAGGTCTTCCTGCTCGGTCCGTTTTTTCGTTGCTGGCGGCTTTTGTACAGAGGGCGCTGTGGTGTTATTGTCGAAATGCCGTAGGTTCTGCTTGACGGCGGACGCAAGAGACGTTGTGTGTCCGGGTTTGCTCTTAACGGGGAGCCGGAGAGCGGTGGGAGCAAAAGATAACAACCTGCTCCAGGATTCACAGCTGTTGGTGGCGGAGATCTGTTCAAGAACTTTCGACAGAGAGGTTCTTGTTGCTGGTCTTGCACCGTGAGGGATACGACGCATAATCCGCTCCTTCGACGGGCGAAAGGTGCCTGTCGCCGTAGGCGGCGTTGGCGCGGCTCCAGAAGAATTGCTAGCGGTGACAGTAGAAGGTTGGAGGCCAGGATCTCTGGGACGCGATTTACAGGCCTTCTGATGGGCTGCCATTCCAGCACCTTTACAAAAAGGTCTCGTACAGTAGGGACACGGCTCTTTGTCAATAGCCATCAGGTACGTGTAGCAGGAGTTTGACTGACCTGATTGATAGGAGTCGGTGCTGGATACCTGAAGGACCAGGTCTGCCGTAAACGGCAAACCTGAAGCGTGTGCTGAAGGCCCCTTCTGCGGCGCTGCCTCAAGCCACGTTTACATCCAACAGGCCACCCTTCAGACCAAGAGGGTTTTGACCCCGATTTGGTCGGCGTAGGGAAATTAGACGCCAACAAATAATCCGCAACTTGTAACTTGAATTCCAAAAGATCTTCACAGTAAGAAGCAACCTTTGCAAAATTCTGAACGTTAATTTTAATGAAAAATTGAAATCACCGTCTCACCTAATTTTATAATTTGGTCCGTAAATCACAATAGAATCTCACAGCTAGCAAATGAAGAAAACGTACAGAATATAATATCAACAATTCAGGGGACAGATTTAACAGAATGCATGTTGGCGTTGTTCCGTAGATTTTCCGACTGGTATTTTATAATGTGTCTGCCCATCTTGGCCGGTTTTCGACTTTTGAACTGACATGCTGTACAGTACAGGAAAATCCGGGCGGTATATAATTGTTCATGCTCCTTGCCGGCAAAATGTAATAAGAATTTTTTCTCTTCGCTCCAGGACAAACGGCAGATCTGGCACTGAAACTTTTCGCTACAAAAACCCTTGGTGGCATTTTTGGACTGAAACACCGGCATTGCGGAAACAGTTTCCTCCCATCTATTCGGCGAAATACTGGAACATGTTGTACGTTCTTCTTCCTTTTTTCTTTGGCCGGAAGAATATTGCTCGGATGTGATGCCTATTTTGAAGCCGACTTCCCCATCCTCCGTTTTCTTGTGATTTGTGGGCGCTACAAAATAAAAACCAATGTACAGTATTTAGATGCACAAAACACTGTATTTTAAAGCATGGAGAGCTTGTACAGTGTACCTTTACCTGTGTAGCCTTTACACACTGTCAGCTTTTCACCATATTACTCAAGAAAATATTGTGATAAAGCAAAAAATTTAGTTGCAACCTCGTTATCATAAATTTAAAAATATAGGCATATTCGTACAAAAATACATACTTGCTCACTCATGTTGTGCATTTTTGCTCAGATGGAAACAGTTTCATTGTACCATTATTATGTTACAGTATATTCCTTTTTATCGTACAAAGGTTGTTTAACTTGCCGTACGCGGTTACCACTGACCCGCTTTGCACGTTTGATCCTAATTCTTCGATCAGCGAGATAAGTTGTGACGAACTTAAACTGCAGTCGTCAAATGATAATCAGTGTTAAAATTTTAATTATTAATTATTGATAATTACTAAACTTTTCACCAAGTTCAAACTGAAACTTATTTCTCACTTCACATACCGCCTCGTTTTTTGATGATTTCGGTTTCTGGCTGGCTGATCTCCGCATGTTCTGTGTCCGCGCATATCTTATCACACTTCCGGTCATCCAGAGAAAAGCCGGCGCCGGCACTTAACTCACTTTCGCACTTCTGCGATGGTACATTTTCGTGTCCGGTTTGATCAAGCTGACGCTCGATCTCTGGAAGTTTACTCTTATTCGAACATGAACTGAGCAAAAGAGCATCCAGCTTCGTCATCTTAACGACGTTGCGATCAAGCTGGACTGTGGATTTCGACGAAGATCTGGCTGACGCAGCAACATGGATAGATACTGACCGACGGAGTGGTTTTTTAAAAGGTAAACCGGCATCTTTTATTACTTTTTCCACCAAATGCCTTGAAATTTTAGCGTAGCGCAGTATTTTTCGCACAGACCAGCCCTGCTCCAGCCACCTTAGAACTATTAGCCGCAACAAGTCGTACCTCTTTCGATACAAATTGCGAAAGATTTTCAGTCTCCCGGCTGCGCGCAGCACTTGCTGAATGGAGTAGCGGGACAAACTGAATTTTATCATGAGGTCGGAACAAGTGCGACCGTTATCGAATAAGTCCACGATTTCCTGCTTTTCTTTCGGGGTGAGGTCGGACGTGTCCCGAGTACTGGAATCTGCAACCTTGGCTCTAACAACCTCTGCTGAGCGGGCATCGTAATCGCCATGATCCTTCCCTTCTGGCGCCACATCTGGTTGCAATGGCAACTCGACTGGCTGGTCTGGCACTAGCACGATGTTGCATTGCCCTGGGCTTGTTTCCGGAACGGGGGAGAGGTGTTTCGCCAGCAACAAGATTGCATTCAAGATTTGCGCTCCCCGGATTTCGGCTTGGCTGCTTACGAACGGCGGTTGTGCAGGGGAATCTCCGCCATTCCCAGTACAATGCATATTGTCACTGTTCATACGGCACCAGTGATGTTCTAGGACCTCAAGTTATGGCTGCGATTTCCGTTTCTCAGTGTTGCTTTAATGAAGAAGGCTCCACACGGGAATTTTGGGATTCGGGCCTACAACAAGTACCATATACTTCATAGTTCTAAGTATTGTATAGAAGTAAAGGATAGGCGGTGCATTGCTGACGCTAAGCGAGTTATGTACTGCTACCCCCTTTTTTAACTTGAAAGTATGCATTTGGGAAAATTAGCCCACCGTAGAGTTAGGAGCTACAGGCAGTGTACGCTTACTACACTGCCTGTAGCCGGTGCATTAACCTGTAGCCGGTGCTTAATCACCGTAAATGGTACCAACTGCAGGTATGTACAATGTACATGCACCAAAACTTGAAAAGCTTTGTTTTATGAATGACATTCCGCAGTTGCCCAAATGCTTACAATTCGATGGCGTGACAAACGTTTGTACGCGCAACATCCGGTTGGGAAGTTATTGGCACTTATTGCTGCAAGAATATTCGAAAAAGTTTAGAAGCATCAATTTGTGCGCTGTACTAAAGGTTTCAACATGTAATTACGCTCTTTTTTCAGATTTTATACATAAACGTAGATTAGTATGAACATTTGTTGCACCGAACCAGAGTTGCAGCATTTTCTTTGCTAATTTTAAATTCTTGAATTTTTCAAAATTTAGAAAAATGCTTAACTATGGTTCGACGTAAAAACAACAGTGAGCATCTACGAGGAGATAAAGGTAGCCCATTTCAGTTCTCTCTGCGCTTGCTGCCGTCAGCCGGCTTTACCTAACAGGTTGAAAATTACCTAACAGGTAATTTTTGTTTATCTGGTTACATAATATGTGCTCAATTTCGTTAATCGAGAACAATCACTAAATATGAGCTTTCAAAAAAATAGTTCTAGAAACTTTCCAAAAAAAACGTCATCGAATGACATTCGGTCTAACAAAGATCTTACAAAGCACACAACGAAAGCCATCGGATTCCGTTTATGCGCTCATTTATTATTACCATTACAAAGTCAAGAGTACATTCAAGATGCTTAGATTTACAGAAATAATCCAAATTAAGGATACTGAAAACAACTTTATCACATAATAATAAATAGCAACATAATAATAAACATAGGTATAATAATAAAAATGTAATAATATGATGTATTTATCGCTTACAGGTAATAATACACGATGTACTACAAAACGTTCGCAAACACGAAGCCTATGTAAGCCGATATTTTAGAGTTTCAGTTATCCTTAACTTATTTAGTAATTGCTTATACAGAGAAACCATGATTTGCAATTCTGCGTGTCACAAATTTTTACTACCTGTTGACTTCGTCCGTTTTTTTGCAGCGCGTTCAAAATTAAACGAGCATGATGAGCAAGCGGATACACGGAATCATAAAATTCCATAAACAAAATCTCATGAAAAGAAACCGGGGACATAAACGATAGGAAATTAATGCAGTTCATTTAATACGCTACGTATGTTAAACGTAACGTTAGTACTGATGTCTCTACTCTTCTGGCAGTCTGCACCGTTACTGTCTGAAGAACTTCGTACTTTCGGAAGTTACAGCACAAAAAGTGGAAATTCGACCGCGGTTCAAAAATACAGTAGTGGCACTAAACAAACAGTCTGTAACCGTTGCAGCTGCATGGCACATCATTGATAATCTTTGTAGGTTTGAATACAGCAGTGTCTCCTTGCATCGACCTGCATAGGTAATTGCATCGTACTATTATCACACATTCAATCGTAAATTCGCACTTGACAAAGCGATACCATTATTACTGATCAATATTCTACAATATTACTAGACGCACCCGGTCGATCAAGGTGCACCGCGTAACAAGTTGAAAGGGCGGCGCTTCCGAAAATAACCGGCACCGTACTGAACGAGACATTTCAAAACATGCGAACCCGTGTAAGCGGGAAAATTCAACTGTCTGTGCATACTATGACAACTGTTTTGAAGATACAGTATAAACAACCACACCAACATTTGACGAGAGAAACTGTGCTCTTTTTACCTGGTTACTATGACTTTTCAACTTTAAGGTGTTTTCACAGTTTTAAAACTCATTATAATTTCAAAAAATGACGAGATCATTGCTGTAAACTTAGCTTTGGCTAGATTCGTTTCCAGTTATGTTTATTTAAATTATTTTTCAGGGAAGATTTGAAATATGAAATATTTAGTATTAAATATTTTGTCCAATTCAATTGGAGAAAATATGAAATACTTAGTATTATTTATACCTTCAGGCTGAATTTGGAGCGGGACTGTGTGTTTAAATATTTTGTCCAATTTAATTAGACCATAATATTTATAATAACCGTTGCATGCATAAAGGCCTTGGTTGCTTGTTTTTTGTTTGTTTGATCAACTTAATGTCTACGACAATCAGTTGAATGTCCTGCACGAGGTCATAAACTAACGCAAAAGAAAAGGCCAGCTCATCAGCAAAAGCCCGACATATAAAACACCGCAACAGATCAATCGTACAAAATCATTTGGCTCTAGAACGACATAAAGCAATGCTCTAGTCGCGGCTACGGCCGCCTAGTGTGTCTGTGTGAACTATTATTTGAGCCCGCTTTATGGTAATTATGGCACGCTCAAGCGCTTCCGCATACCGCAGGTGGTACCCTCCGATCTATACATAACCGGCGATTATTACCTGTCCATCGTTTTTGCGTATGAGGCGGAAATAAAGCGGTCTTATTGCAATGAACTGGGTAATCTGCTTTCTAGAGCTCTAGGACCTGGGTTTTACAATCACAATAAGCGGATGGGTTTTTATACTCCTCCCACAAAAAATCCAAAGCGCTATTATTGCAGTACCTGAACTGTGCTTCCATTGTATAATCTGGTCCTAATTGTGTGAGGAAGCTGATTAAAGCGCGCATATTGTTGCCGGTATTAGGAACTGACAATCATGAACATCATATTCTTTTGTACGAGCATTTTTTTCTGTGCATTACAAATGCGAAAAGGACCGCGAATGCATTATAACCTGGTAATTATGTATTGTGTTTATGTACTCGACTGCATGCATCAGTCTGGGACGCAAACCACAAAATCACAACCACAACCACAAATTTTAAGGAAATTCGAATCGCTTTATCATTCAACAATCCGCGAAATGAAAAATTTGAATTAACCGTACCCGTGCCGCTGCTAGCAGCCGTGCGGACACCAAAAGGTCACCCGTGCACCCAACCAACGCGCATGTTTACCCGTACATGCAGCCATACTGCTAATTTATCGTAAATACTGGTACATTTGCATGGGCCGACGGGTAGTTTACTAGTGCTTGCATTTTCAATAGGTATGCCGTCGCAAGTAAAATCAAAAAAAGAATCAATTGGGAGAGTCAGTCGCAACGATTTTTGTGAGATCGATCTACTTTTCCGTAAACGTTTACGTCAGCAGTACTCCATCGCGCGTTCAAGGGACTGATAAAATGAACCGAAAATCATAACACACTCTCACAGCTAGTAAACGAAATCGTACACTATTTAATATCAACAATTTAGGAGTTAGATTTAACATAATGCGGAATTCTGCCGTTGTGCCGTATATTTTCCAATTGGTACTTCGTAATATGTCGGCCCATCTTGGACGGTTTTCGAGTTTTGAACGGACAGGCTGTACAATACAAGAAAATCCCAGCGGCGTAGAATCGTTCGTGCTCCTTGCCGGCCAGATGTAACAGGAAGGGTTTCTCTTCGTCGTAGGTTAAACGGCATATCTGACACTGATACCTTCCGCTACTACCCCTCGTGACCGCATTTTTGGACTGAAACACCGTCATCGCGGAAGCACTGCCCACGCATCTATTCGACGAGATATTGGAATATTCTGTAATTTCTTCCTCTTGTTGTCTTTGGCCGAAAGGGCATTGCTCGAATGCGATGTCTGTTCCGAAGCCGGCTTCCGAATTATCCGTTTTCTTTTGGCTCCCGGGGGCTACAAAATAAACAAATACGCTGCGCTTAAATGTGCAAAACAGTTTATTTTAAAGCACGAAGTTATGATCATACTTTTACTTGCGCAGTTTTTGCACATTGTCACTTTGCCACAATATTACGTAAAAAATTAGTGAGGTAAAACGAAAAATACATTTACAGCCTCGTTTGGGTAAATTTATCTATACTGAGCCTATACATATGTACTGTATATTCATACATATAAGGGGAATTTACCTGCTGAGGCCAGCACTCCCTGTACTTGCTGCCGTCACCCGCCTGGAGTGTGACGTTACGGCAATACATACGGTTAAATCAGGCGCGGTACATAAGCACCATGTTCAGCCACAACGTAAAACTCCAGCCGGGTGACGGCAGCAAGTACAGGGAGTGCTGGCCTCAGCAGGTTAATTCCCCTTATATATATAAACACATATACGTAACTATATACATGCGTATACATACATATATGCATACCCATTGCCGTTGCTCTAGGTGTGCGAGAGGAATGAATGAACATTCCTCTCGCACTGAGCGAGCGAGAGGAATGTTCATTCATTCCTCTCGCACACCTAGAGCAACGGCAATGGCATACCATACCGAGCCTATGTACAATGTATATACCCGGCAGTGGTACATACTAATACTGAGACGAGATACTGAAAAATTTTTCAACTATTCAGTTGCGGTGTTTTCTCACAACCCCCCCCCACCCAACTAAAAATTGCATGTATTGAAATTTTTCATTACTGGATATATCTTCCATTGGACATACCGCTGCGGTCTTTATTGATGTCGGTTTCTTCCTGGGTTGTTCTTTCCACCGCAATTTCTGTAGCAGGGCATGTGTCTTTGCATTGCCGGTTTTTGGACAAAATGCTTGCACCGGCACCTGATTCGTTTCTGGAGTTCTGCAATGGTATATCCTCGTGGCCGACTTTATCATGATGACGCCCAATGCCTGAATCCCATTTGATTGCAGAGCGTGAGTCGCGCAAAATAGCATCGAGCTTCGTAGTGGTCACGGTGTTTTGATTATCCTGGACTATGGATCTCGACGTAGAGCTGGTTGACGCAGAACCATCAATAGATATCAAACGGCGAAATGGTGTTTTAAGCGGTGAACCGGCACTCTTTATTACACTTTTCACCCAAATCCTTGGAGCCTTAGTGTGATGCATTATTTCTCGCAAAGACCAGCGCTGCTCAAGCAGCTGCAAAACAATCAATCGCAGCTCGTTGAACTTCTTTCGATCCTGTTTCCTAAGGATCGCCGGTCTCCCAGCTGCACGCAAAACTTGCTTAATGGTGTAACGGGACAGATCGAACTCCGCCATCAGGTAGGAGCAAGTGCGACCGCGGTCGAATAAGTCCACGATTTCCTGTTTTTCTTCTGGGGTGAGTTTGGACATCAGCCGTGCACTAACCCTTGTAACCGATGTTCTGGCAACTTCTGTTGAGCAGACGTAGTCATCGCAGTAATTATCCCATCCTGGACCCGTATTCGTTGCCACTAGCATTTCGTCTGGATGTTTTGGCACTGTGCCGCACTGCATTGTGTTTGCTTTCGGAATGGCGACTGGATATTTCTCCCGCATCAAGATTGCATCCAGGATTCGCGTCCCCCGGAGTTCGTGTTGGTTGTTCAGGAGCGGCGGCTGAGCCGGAACACTTTCGCCCCTCTCAGCATAATGCATAATATTTTTTTCCATGCAGCTCTAGTCAGCAAAATTATTATTAGAACACCCAAGTAATCGCTAGGATTTTCAATTCCGTTCTTCGGCGTTGATTTGCTGAAGACCCAGCACAGAAACTTCGTGACTCAAGCCTATAAGAAATAAAGTCATTTTGATATACTGCTGTTATTAGCGAATTATACGCAACGAAATGCTGTCACCCTCTGGTCGGAAAAGCGTAAACTTTTATCCACGAAAACAATAAGGATTCGCTAAAATCCGTACATATTAACACGCGGCGATACACGAATTGCGAAATAATGCAATACCTTACAAAAATTTGCACGTACACGTTCAGAATATGTATTAAGAGAGTTATGGGAGTTACGTAACTTACGACGTGAGAGCTAAACTTTTTGTTAGCGAATTACCTGGACAGTTACGATTCGGGGTTTGGTTATAAGCCTCGCAAATAACTCACCTCAAGTTAAACAGCAGAAAATACCTTCTCAAGTCAGGTGCGAATTACGAGTTATTATGATGCAGTAAGCACTAAGCAGTTCTACAAAACGGCATAGTACTGGACTCGATAATGCCGCATATTTTTCGGTTTGTAAGTCACTTATCTCATAATCGCTGTTTATGTACAAAGGAAATATTCCTTATAGGGTTATGGTAAAATGTGAATAATATTCAATATTGGATTATCTTAGTGAACAAACAAAGATAAAACCAACGGTAACGAGTGCAGAGACCTGACTGCAAAACAACAATACTTACTACGTACAGCTACAGATACATACTGTCTGCCCCCGGATACGCACAATCACCTGATATTTTTATGCAGGTAGAAAAAATAAAAGAAAACTTTTTTAATCGCATCCTGCATCCCATATTTTGTAATAACTGATCCAACGCCATGCCGATGACGGTTTTATGGAAATTAAATTACATTTTTTTAACAAACAAGCATGGACAGAACGTGGCCTGTAAATACCGGAAATGATTGCATGGCTCAGCATGACAACAATTTGCATCGTCGGCTTTCTTCTCGAGAAAACAATTTTCCAAATCTGTTGAAGTACGAGTATATGCAATGCAAACTGAATAATCACATGCAAAGTTTCTCAGTAATGGGTGTTGCTTCGGATTCCTATAAGTGTCCATAATTTTTAGGGGCAAAAACGAATTCCAGAGTATTAAAATTCTTTTTCTGTCGGCCATTAGTTGTATTCAGACTTGTACAAGAGAAAAGCAAATTTTGAAATACTCGTGTATCTTATGCTAATTCTTATAAACTGTGGTTGGACTGACTCTCGAATTTTTCGCAAATTCTTATCAGCGGCAGTTGTATACCTAAATGATTATTATTTATAAGTTCCCATAATATGTGTTTAAGGCGATTATTTCGAACAGTCTGCACTGCCTGCTTGTGCACTTACTATTACTGCAAAAAAGCCGACAGATACATACCAGATATGGAGAAATCAATCCAAATTAAGGATACAGACAATTTTGTCACAAAAAATGAATATAATTGCGCAATCATGTGACACATGTACACGTAAATCGCTGTCTTAGATTTTCAGTAATTCTTAAATCGGTTTTGATCAGTATCTGTATGTCTTTTACTGCAGAGAAACCATCATTTGCATGCAAAAATTCAGCAGTACCTGTAAGCTGCAACTTCTTCCTTTTTGGTAGAACATTTAAAATAAAACGGTTATAGTCAGTATACTTGGAATCATAGGATGACATAAATAAGATGCCCCGGAAAGATGGCTGAGACGTAGACGACTAAAAGTAGATGTGACACACTGAATCTTATGGATTTCCTCGAATGTGCAAAATTAGCCCTGCACTGCGACTGCAGTCTACACTGTAGGCTGTAGACTCTACAGCCTGCTCTCTCTTTGGACCTTTGCTTCCGTCTGCAGTATTTACAGCAGCTACAGTACAATAACTAGAAATTAAAATGCGGTTAAAAAATCGATAATTAGTCCAACAAACAGCCTGCAACTGTAGCACATGCGCAAAGCACGAAAAATAATATTTGTAAGAGGCGATCATGTACGTTTCCTAGACCTGTACAGCTCTGTACTTTAACCGCTTGATCCTACCGCATATTGTAATACGATTATCATTCCTTATAAGGTTTATATCGTAAATTCGCATAATATGGCAAAGCAACACCGTTATTAAGGTCTTCTACTGATGAATATTTCATAGTTCTACGTTCAACTTAAACTCAATTCAATTTCCAGAAAAATGATGGTATCAAGTTAGTTTTGGTTTAGATTCGTGCAAAGTTATGTTCAATTACAGCAAATGTTTGGGAGAATTCAGATACTCTGAAATGCTGAAATCAAAATATGCCCTGAAACTTGGTACAGGGCCTGTGTATTTAAATTTAAATTCCGCAGTGTGATAGCTAACATTGTTAAGTAACTTAATATGATAGCATTGAATTAATGTGCCATTTCGATTCCACACTATTCAGTTACCGGATGCTGCGCGCGCAAAGGCCAATTATACCCATGTATTGTAACTGGCTTGTGCTAAAAAAAGTGTAATTATATAACACACACACGCACATATGGTTGCCGTTAGTCGGACCGACCGACGTTCGAAACCGACAAGATGGAAAATTTTTCTCCGTATTTTTCTCAAAGGCTTCCTTGAAATAAGGTAGGTCCTTGAAGCCATCAGATAAAGCTCATAGGATTATTTAAGTTATTCAAAAAAATACCGTTAATCCACGGGCTTACATGTCGGCTCAGCAGCTGGTCTGGAAAATAAAGCAACCGGCGATACTGCTAAGGACTTTAATCTCAGTGTACTGTATGTTTACGATAGTTGTAGCCGAGCCACTTCCAAATTATAGTTACTCTAGTGGCTTTTATACCGGAAGTTTGGAAGAATACGTCTTTGACTGTTTAGTTTCCCTCCTAATTAATTCGGTTTTACTCGAAAACGTTCCTAAAAGTGATTTCTTTAAATCAACTACGAACAAATCTCGCTTCACAATACATTTTTGTAAATAAACAAGGAATATGCATCAACTGGTTTACTAGCAGACCGCAGCGCAGCTTCTACCATTTTGTTTCAATAGCAACCCTAATAATAAATCAACTGGCCGCGCCCTTGTCAAATAATAACTTATGTATATTAACAACTACCTACTACACGTTGTTCGATTTTATTTGTTTTCTCATAACGGTTAACAAAGTGACTAAAATAACAAAATATGTGCTTTTTATTCGCATTCTTGGGAACCCACACGACCCGCAAAACATTTGTGCTTCCGATTATTATGATACACTAAAATGCGCGTATAAAATCGAAGCAACAAATACCGTCCTAAGCGTACATCAAGTAGTCAGATATCATGACTCGTGAAATGCTATCAAAAAATAGCATTAAAGAAATGCGAGTGAGCACTTACAGCATGATAGGTTAACCTGGTAACAATTTGTATTCCACTATGCACATTACACCAATAAATCAGTGGATGGTTTGATACAGTGCATGGTACAGTCCTGCAGCGCATTCTGGGATTGATACTTAACAATGTGTGCACCCATCGACGGCCATCGTTGCCGGTTTTCGGGTCTTAGGTTTCGATTTTTTCTTACAATCTAAAAAAATTGTGTGTTGATAAGAGTGTGCATGTTTTGTAACTTGTAGTTGTACACATTTTATGGTTTCTCCGCTTATTATACATATCTGCATGCGCGTAATTTGAAGTAGGAAGCTACAGAAAGAAGATTTACAAATGGGTGTTTCTGACGGTATTTCGGACGGTTGACACTAATTTGATAGTTTAACGGCAAAGACTTTTCAAACGGCGTTTTTGAAGGCAATTGGAAACGGTGAAGGTAACGGCAAAGGTGAAGTTGAAAAAGGCAAATCGAAACGGCAAAGGCAGAAGGGCGGCAAAATAAGGTTGGTCGACCCGATTTGTTTGTTTCTCTCTGGCGCTCAACTCAGCGTTTTATTCTCATTCACAGCAATATAAGCGGCAATTAAGGTATTAGTGTTTCAGACTATAGAAAATCAAAATATCTGACAGCGGCCAGGGCGCCCCTAAACTTTCAGAAGTCCCAAAATGCTTCCAAAATATTAAAAAGTTTACTAGAAATGGGAAAATTTGTCGCTCGCATTTAAATCTGAGCGACAATTGCAACTGGTAGCCAGCTGAGTTAGGCAGGCAACAAATTTTGTATTTGATTAGCCACCATTAATTCAGTTTATAGTTGTAATACTATGCATACAGTCTTGCAGCGCATTTTGCGATTGATACTTCACAATGTGTCGGCCCATAGTCCCCGGTTTTCGGGTCTTGAATTTACATCCTGTACAATACAAAAAAATTCTACTGGCAAGCAGCTGTTCGTGCTCTTTGTCGGCCAAATGCAACAGGAAGTCTTTCTCTTCATCCCAGTGTAAACGGCAAATCTGGCACTGATACCTTGCGCTACGGCCGCTCGTGCTCGGATTATCTGGCGGAAGCAACGGTATTTCCGAAGCAGCCCGAGCACATCTGTCCGGGGAAATTGTGGAGTGTTCCACAATTTCTTCCTCCTGTTTTCCTTGCTCGGAGAATTGTCCAGGTGGGGTGTCTGTTCCGCAGCCAATGTCTGAAATATCCATACCCTTATGATTTTGGCATAAAATAATTTTCATCGCTAAATTGGCATAAAATAATTTTTTATATCTTTTCTAAAATAATTTTTTATATCTTTGAAAATATATTTTTTTCACATCATGAACTTCTGGCCGAAGTCGATTTTTGAAATAATAAAACTGCATAGAAATTCGTATTTTTGTAACTACCTATTAAGGAAGCCTACGTTGGAGTTGTTGTGTTTTTCAGTTATCTGAACTTATGTAGAACGCTCAGAAAAAAATTTGCTTGCAACTGGAACTTAATACTACTATTATGTTTATTGTATCTGGTCTTCTTGCCATTCATTTTGAAAATTACGATGACTCGATTTTAAAAAATAATATCTTTTAACTCATCACTTATATTTAGGCATTTAAAGAAATGGATATTGGGAGTTAGAAGATGTTCTCGGATTCATAAAATCAATGACAATACATATGCGGAACCCTAACCAATACATAGAAGTAATGCAAAAAAGCAAACTTCAAGGTTAACATTACTTCCATATCTTCAACTAATAATTTTCAGTAAAATCATCTCATAAAAATAAACTAAACGATTCACTGCGCAATGCGCATACCACTCCTATCTTGAGCGATGCCGGCTGCTTCTTGATAAAGCCCTGTCTCCTTCGAGGAACATCCGCACTGTCCGTCTTCTAGCAAAATAGTGAGAGCAGTCCCAGCACCACTTGCTCCGCCTTCGTGGTGGGATTGCAACGGCGAAGTTGCCGCCGGTCGCGATTTGGGAGTTAAACTGGCATCCATCAATATCTTTTCTACCCGAAACGGTGAATTTCCAGCGCACTTCCTTTTAATCGCTCGAAGAGACCAGCCCTGCTCGAATAGCCTGAGAACAACCGGGCGCAATGCGTCGTACCTCTTTGGATTCTGTTCGGCAAAGGTTCTCCCCGCTGCGCCCAGTACTTGTCCAATATCGTAGCCAGACATATTGGTCTTCTCCATAATATAGCAGCAAGTGTGACCTTGGTCGAATAAATCCAGGATGTACTGTTTGCTTGCGGGAGTAAGGTTGCACGCCGTTTTGAAAATCTCTGTTTCTTTCTTTGGTACAGCTTGGGATCCTTGAATACTAGAGGTCGACCGTAACTGATCCAACAGCTGCCGAACAGTTGTGGAGCGACTCTTGACAACCTTTGGTAAGTTTGCGCCATCGTCGCTACCATTTTGCCGTTTCCTAAAGATTCCCGTACGCCCAGCCGCACACAACACCTGCTTAATGTGGGGGCGGGACAAGTTTGCTCTGCGCACAATGTAGGAGCAAGAGTAACCTTTGTCGAATAGATCAACGATTTCTTGCCGTTCCTCCGCCTTTAGTTCGCATAATTTCCGCGTACGGACTCTCGCCGTTTCGGTCGCTGGCTTGCCCCAGGATCTTTGGATGCTGGATGGTGAGCATGACTGATCAAACGCGTTCCACATAGCGGCAGAGCGGTCCTGTGCAGTCGTTTGTGGGCGGGCATTATTGTCATAGCCCCATGTTAGTTTCGGATCTGGCTGCATCTCCACAATTTCGGCTTGCATGATGTTCTTTCAAGTTATGGCGCAAAATGGCTTTTAATTATGGAGGGGAGATTGGATGTATGACCTGTAACAGCAGGGCTTTATTCACACCTGGCCTCCCCAATTAGCGCCTGCTGCCGTGTTAGTAGATGCTCATCCTTCGCAACACAATGTACTGTACAATGATTTGACGGAAAAGCTATTCAGAACAGAGCTCCAAGTATTTAAATATGATTTTGTCTGAAGTTACTTTTGAAGATTGAATAGGACTTTCACAGTTTCTAATTTCAAACAGTTTTGATGCAGGCCTACAAAAAACAAACGTTGCGTATTAATATAATGCTGCGTATTAATAGCATGATAGCAAAGCAAATTGCTTATACGGGCGTACAAGAAATTTATATAATTGGAGGCTCGAGCCAACGAGTATGTTACATATCCTACCTGGAAGTTTTCGTTAACGATTTTGAATTACTGTATCTCTTGCCAGTTGGAAATGGACCATTTTTACCGACTGTTGAACGATATTATTATTTTTACATTGGTGAATTTCACGACTTGGCTGATGTTTATTGTGGCCGAAGAGTTGCGTGCGGTCACGCACCTTCTGCTGCTCGGGGATACGCTAGCATAGTTCCAAAAAAAATCAGCGCCTCGATATTACAAATATTTGAATATCTTTGGTTCGGCTGTGTTACTATCTTATCTTCGCTTGGCAGTATTTCCACCAAATAATTTTACATGAACTATTCTGCATAACAGTATTGTATCATCAGTAAAAGTCAGACAGTGAAATCGGCAAGTGGCTCCAGGAGCATGCCTCTGAACCTCGCATACACGAATTCTTACGTCCGCTTTTATCGATCGAAATTCAATATACGAAGCAACGCGCGGTTTCCGTTCTCACGGTCATGGATGGAACCGACAATTTATTATAAATTTTGCTGCTGTAGTTAATTCTGCTTTTGCTACAAAACGAGTTTACTGTATCCGCCTTCGGCCTACTGTTAGAAATAATAAACAGTGTAATTATGCAGTTCACTGCGTCACATATTGTGTGGTTGAGATTAATAATCAGTTAACAGGCCTGAGGAAAACAACTGACAATAACTTCCTAAATATCCTGCGGAGTGTCTGCATCCCATCGCATAATTGTACATTAATATCAAACAACATCTGTACACACTATCATATGATAAAATGCTCAAGTATTGTTTAATTACTGTACACAATTTTGCTTCTTATAGGTTCGACTACTAAAGTAACAATTGTAAGGATAAAATTTCAAAATAATTTCTCATGTTTTCCACACTATTTTGTTTGGAAACTGCGTGCCATTAGTAAAACCGGAAGTATTAGAGAAGGGGACAAATGGACGGAGTACGGAAAGAGGGTGCCTGTACATATATATATTCAAGAAGTTTGGTGGTTATCTTTGGTGGTACTATAAAAATTATTAAAAAAGGACAGCGACGTAATCCATTATCTTACCCTTAGTGTAATTTTCAGTCAGTTCTCATACGATTAAAAGCACCAGCTTCCACGCACGTAGCTTCTTTAATCACGGCGTTCAGAAATCGGGCATCTCTAGAAAATCTTCGTCATCTGGCTCTTATAATTTCCATCATCTTCCACTTCATAATCGCTGTCTGGTCCATACATCAATTTTTACGTCATCGAAGAACAATTATCTTCTTTTTATCATCAGAACGACGATAATCCATATGCACGGTTTCAAGTTCAACATATTCCCGTATACAAAGTTGTTGTTACACGCTGTCGGCAGGACACTTGAAAGATAAACTACATATGTACGTGCTCGTATAAGTACGACTTTAATCAATGTACTGTAGTATCGGCTGAAGGCAATAAAAGCCGGCTCGAGACACAAAAGATTTCGAAATTAATGCAGCTTGTTTCGGTGCTTCCACGTTACAAGGTCAGCACAGTGATTGCGGCCTATGCTCTAGTAAGGCTGTCTAGGAGAATATTTTACAGCCGGCAAAGTGAAACCAGTGCGGAACACAGAAGCGTTTGCGGTCTGATAGCCGTACTCGCACGGGCCTGGCCACGGGTACTGTATTTACGAAATATTTATTATAACGCTGTGCGCTGTACTATGTACAAGCCCAACCGGAAACAAGAACTGGAGTGTATACAGGGAGCAAACGCAGGCACACAGGTACAACTCGGCTACATGTTCATGTACGCCTCGTACAAATTTCTCCGTTTACACTCTATAGCTAGCTTTTGTTAATTCCGGATATGAGCTTGCTTGAAAAAACGCAAAGCAGTGACACGATTTTTTTCTGCTCGATGCCCAATTATATTTGCTAGTTTCTGTATGTAAATTTATAGCATGCCCCCACAGTTGGGCTATTGGTCTTCATCGCATCATTCGCATGCACCCTTGACTTCCGGTTGGCATTCTCGACTGCTATGTAATAACATGCCAGTCGGCAGCAGACGGGCATGTCGTACATGATCAAAAAAGTTCTTGGAACAACCGGCATTCAGTGCCATTTCATTCAGAAATAAGAGCGATAGGAGCAGGCCATTTCTTCCACAACTAGTCTGGGGACGTATGCGATACTGACACGACGTACCATTGGCGCTAGCGGTTTGTCCGGAGTGATGCTGGCAGATTTTCCTCGGTGGCACTGTCCAAGAAAGCGTACGGTGAATCAGCGCAATCGTCCGCAGTCTCTTCCGGTGCGTGAATGCATGGCATGCCCACGGATACCGAGGCGTAAAATATACGATCTGCATCCCAGCCGAATTAACCGACGAAATTCCTTAAACTGTGCCCTCCGTGCATCGGAAAAGTCGTTAAAGGAAGAAGACAGCAGTTATCCATGTGTCAGAAAGATAGAAACAATGTTCTGTAAAACAGTAACATACACCAACTGATTACCTAAGTACAGATATATACTGGTCTCAGTGGTCTCCACACCAGTAGACCATTTTGTTTAATTAAGCATTATCGGAAATTCAGGATATTGTTGATAATCTTCGTCTATGCAATATTCTAACGGTTTGTATGAATTTTAACATTCCACTGTGTATAATGTATGTACGAACGTCACCGGGATATCCCAAAATGCGTTTGATGCGTTTATGACGTGTGCGGATTTGTGTGCAACCCAGCGGCATCCCGGAACTTTCACTTTTTGAGTAACTTTTTAAAAGCTCTAAAAATTAGGGATTCCAAGGTGATGCAATAAGTACGAGCCCTATAATGCGGAAATAACAGCGTATACGTCAGTGTTAAATTTGCATGTTTAGTTGGTCGAAGTTAAGCGAAGGTCATCTACGTTCAACAATTACAAAAAAACATTGCGTACGTCAGTCAAAGATAAAATATTTCTTTGTTTAATATTTCTTTCAATGAGATAAAATATTTCTTTTATTTGGCTATCATAATATAAGATTCAGTGGTGAGCGGACAAAATAATTACATGGCGCGTCAGCCGACGGGCCATGTGTAACAGGCAGTCGGCCAAATGAACTTAAAAAAATATACTAACCAATTTTGCGCATTAATTTTAACGAACATGTTCGGCAAGCGATTATTTTTGTGTTGCGTAATGTTTTGAGCTGAGACCACTAGTTGCAATAGTTCTTTCTCAAGGACGCAATCATAATTAGTGAGCTTCTGGGATTCAGTGACGAAACAAAACCGGACAGTGTGCATTTTCAGCTAGGTAGGCAGATCCGCTTCCAAGATACCGTTGTTGTCGCACCTTTCTTGCGCTACTTCAAGTATACGTTGCGACGCGGCGACCGGTGCTTACAAATTTAGGTATCCGAAATAAATCCACAGTGCAAACAACTCATCCAAGGCGCGCACGGACAACGACAGGTCTTCGTTGAAAGTGTCTGCAGAAAGGGCTGTGTCATCACACGACAGACTAGCTAGCAGCTCGTTAAGAAGGGCTGAATCCACGAGACGTCGGTCTGACGCTCTATTCTGGCTTTATTAATGTAACAGCAAAAAACACACGTCCTGTCTGCATCTTCTGGCCAAACCGCAGCAGGTAAAAATCATATAACCTGTTTTCTCCAGTCGACTCCGGGTGATCATAACAACCACTTGCAGAAATCCAGAAACCAATCCAGATTAGGGATAAAATAAAAATTCCTCCATTCCTGATCGCTTTTGTAATCATTAAGCTGATAACCGCGCGCTAGTCCATAGAGAAACTCCTGCACCAGTACCATTGGCATCGGAGAATAATTATGTTGTCTTCTACTCGGAAGATCAAAATTAACGGTCATTTAGTCTGCATGCACCGTTAACTTTAGATTTTGATTATTCTGCGAAAGGACAATTTATAATAAACAAATTAGGTCTTCAGTCAGTCAGTGGAAGTCTACAGTCGAAAGCTTTAGTCGTTTAGTATAGAAATAGGAAAGTATTAGAAGGACAATAGACACGTGAACTCAGTATACTACAACTACACCGTTGGGTACGCCGTACAACGGTGTATTCGATGTAGTGGTAAACCGTACAACCGGTGGTTATTATACTGTAATTACATGACCATTTGCAAAGTATTGACATGCGTTTTTGTAATTGCGTTTAACTTCCAACATCACCATGGTATGTCTCAGTAATATTATGCATATCTTGTGCTCGTAGGTACGTTTCTTTTTAGGTACATAAATGAATTAACCAGTACTCGGTCATTGGCCTAAATTTACAACCGGTAAAGTGGTGTCCCGATCGGCCTACCATATCATTGAGATCTCTGTTGTTTCAGTTTGCCTTTTTAAACTTCTACTTTGCCGCCGTGAATACCCTCGCCATCCCAAAAATGTAAACGTCGAAAAATTTGCAAAATTCGTTATCGTTAAATATACTAGAATCAGCGTAAGAAAATACGAACAAACACAGCTGTCGGCATGTTGGTTTTAAGCAAGTGACAATTTATACTGTAATTATTGCAACATCCATAAATCAGTTAATAATCTTAACACAATGCATAGTACGATCTTGCAGCCCATTTTGCGATTGATACTTAACAATGTGCCTGCCCATCGTTGCCGGTTTCCGGGTTTTGAGTTTACATCCTGTGCAACGTAAGAAAATTCCGGTCGTTAAAAGCTGTTCATGCTCTTTATCTGCCAGATGCAAGAGGAATTCTTTCTCATCTTCCCAGAATAAGCGGCAAACCAGGCACTGATATCGTGCACTAAGGACTCTCATGGTCGCCTTATCCGGCGGAAGCAGGCATGTTTCCAAGGCAGCTCTAGCATCATTGTCATTGAAAATAATAGAGCCTTTCATAATTTCTTTCTCCTTGTTTCCGTGGTCGCAGAAAACTTGTCCAGGAGCACTGTCCATGTCGAGGCCAGCGTCCGGAATACCCATACCATTCTGATTTTCCATCGCTAAATTTCCACAAAAACTTTTGTTATGTTTGGATATACAAGTCAGTTACACAAACATTGAATTAATGGCCGAATCCTGTACGTACACCCCATTGAAGCAATGCTACAATACGACCGAGCGGTGTGTGCAGATGTATATTCTATTCCGTTGCATATTCTATGTTCATATCGAACGGCACAATATTTTAGGTTTGTATCAACGATTTATCATCTTTTCTGCAAAATCAAAGGCGAAATAGTTTTTAGCAAAATGTATCACTTAACCGGTTATGTAACACAATGCGGCGTACCCGCCAACCAGAAACGTTACCCGAAACGTAACATTTCCGGAAAAAACTTAGACGCCCGGCATAGTTCAACCTAGCAAATCGGAACATGGAAGTAGTTATTTACTGTTATTTTGAACGAGACGAGAGTAATTATTTGCTCCACATGCGCCTTTTCTTTTAATCATAGTAATCATAGGTCCACATATTCTTATCTTCTGGAGATGGTCTTTTACAGACGGCAGAATATACAGTACAAGAAACAGCCTCGGCTTCGCCTCCGCGTTTCTTGTGGTCAACGGCCACTTTATTTAGTTCTCAATGAATATTTATTAAAATAACATATTTCGTCGAAGCATAATCGGTGCATCGCATTAGCGCAAAAAACGGATTTTATTTAAAAACACGGATTTGATTTTTATACGAGTATGATTTTTTTTAATCAGTTCATGATTCTCTCAAATCACAATAAATTCTCACAACTGAATTCATGATTCTGTGAACTTTAACCTGATCAATCTGGGTAGTGGAAGCTCGGTCACTGGTTCAAGTGACGAATCTTTGCAATGGACAGAAGTGCCTGCTTGGTCCCCCATTCAGCTATAGGGGAATAGGGGTGACCTATAGGTGACTCGTTAGCTAACGAGTCCCGTACACTGGACAGTACCGGTAACTCGGTCACCCGCTCACCTATCGGATCCCGTACACTAGACAGCACCGGTAGCTCGGTCACCCGCTTACCAAACGAGTCCCGTATACTGGACAGTACCGGTAACTCGGTCACCCGCTCACCTATCGGGTCCCGTGCACTGGACCCTACCGGTAGTTTGGTCGGCTGTCACTCATGTAGAAATTGTCCTCGATGACAGCGTTACATACAGAGTATATAGTCGTTCTTGTTGTAATAACGGTCTGCTGATTAAATTCATTCTGATAGTTTAAATAGTAGAAATGACTTTCATATTTAGCTATATTTTAGCTGGATCACGTAGCAACATTGCCTAAAAATACTCCGATAATACTTATAAGTACAATAATTTAGTTGCATTTGGTGAAGGTAGTCAAAACTCTTCCGCTTTGGCGTTCGAAGCGGGAGAGGTTTCGAAAGAAATGAATACTATCTGGCCGGGTTTTCGACTACGGGCTTTCAGAATATAATATTGGTTTGGGTCAGTCTTTTCTGGTTTGCCGGCTCTGGTGTATCCCATTCGTGGCTATATAAATCTGAATTAGGATATCACTGCAAAGTATGATCTGGGCTAAATGCAGTTAACGTATGGGTACTCACCCTTAACAAAACCGAGGCTTGCGAAAAACCAGCTACCACGGGACACTCTCTGATAAAAAATGGTAAAGTGTGCCACAGACGTTTAGGCCTTATTATTCTCGTCATTCGTTCATGGATTTGGCCAATCTATCTCGTATTTCTTTGTACCGGCATATACTTTTGTAGTAACGACTAGTGCCCTGCAACGGAGTACAAAACTGCGTCCAGTCCGATCCAAACTTAAAAAATTTTATCCGAACCCAGTCCGACTCCGAATTCTAAAAATCGTACTCCGACCAATCCGATCCGAAAATATTTTTGGCCAATCCGAACCCACTCCGATCCGATCCGAAAAATTTTCCAAAAGAATATTACTTAATTTTATTACTCATCCCTACATTAAAAAAAATTTTAATGCCGAAGTAGGTATGCCGTAACATGGCATTCAAAAAAATTTTAGCCATGTTGTCGGTAGTCAAAAGACTTCAGAATTCACAAGTACAAGTTTCTTGGGCATAATAGAGGTTAAGGTAGAGGATTTACATATACTAGTACAAAATTTTTTAGGGGAATTTAGTTTTTTAGCACTACAGTGTGGAAGAAATTGGAGAGGTTAGCTATCTATCCTCACTGTCAGAAATCTGTATCATATCTTTTTGTTGTATACGGTTCAGCCCACGGATTACCCACCTATTAGCCAGGGTCAAAAATAGGGACAGAAAATTAAAGGGAGGGATGTTTCTAAACGCCGCTTCGATTTTCTTCGATCTTTAAATGCACCAACTGATGGGACTGCAAGTGCGCTGATTGGATAAAACCCATCTTGCAGATTTCGCAGATCCACCTGCGGTTACCCTGGTGTGCATCGATGTGAGCCTTTAAGGTGCCTGCTTGTGTAAATTTCTTCGAACAAATTCCACAACTAACAATAAAAAAATCATTGCATTTTAATGTGACCACTAAGTAGCCATTTACCTGGGTTATGTAGCCCTAACATAGCATTTCGCTTGTATAAACTCGGATCACTTACGAATATGGTTTGTATCCAGCCCGCGCATTTGTATTTTTTTCGCTGATTTAATGCGATAGAAATTACGGGACAAGCTTGTACATTTAAACACTTACCGGAAGCTTATTTCACTCCAAACTCCCCAGTCGTATGTTGCGCTCACAATTAATGGATTTTCGTGAACGCAGACAAATCACTTGGCCACAGAATGTCATTAAACAACGACAAAATGCTTGGGGGTACGCAAAAGCGAAGGTTTTTGTCCACGTTCCCAAACTGGTGTATGATCCCGGATCACTTCCCTTGAAGCATTGTCCTAGTGCGGCGGTTGCCGTAACTAAGCAGCTAAAAATGCGGCTGTTGGCCCACATTTGCAGGCGTAAATCGCAGTGTGGTACAAATTATTTTTTCACGTACAGAGCATGCATGTTAGGTATGCTGAATAGCGTGTGTGCATAATTTACTGTAAGATGAATTGTAGTCTGCTTTTTTATGCGCTAATGACAGTAGCAAAAAACTTCCAATTCCTGTTTTATTTCATATCAACAAAAAGGGACGAGCAAAATGCATACTACAGCTGCAGATTAATTTCGAACATAAAATTAAAAAACAACATTAACACCGTTCATGGGGTCATGTAAGTCGCACCGCCTCGCAAGCCCAGAAAAATGCACCGTATAGGTTAACAAACGTTCACACTCGAAACAGTTAAGCGGTATTTAATTTAACACAAGTATGTCAAGGGATAAATTTAACCGAATGCATGTTACCGTCTCGCAAGGTCCCTTGCGATTGGTAGTTAATAACATGTTGACCCATTTTTGCCGGTTTGCGGGTTTTAAATTTACATCCTGTACAATATAGAAAATTACCGGTGGCAGACAGTTGTTCATGGTCTTTTTCAGTCGGATGCAACAAGAATGCTTCCTCTTCATCCCAGGAGAGGCGGCAAAATTGGAACTGATATCTTGCACTGTGGCCGCTTATGGACGGATTTCTTAACGGATGCAAAAGTGGTTCCGAAGCGTTGAACACGGATTCTTCCGGCCAAATGCGGTCCCGGCTTCTGCCTTCAGTGATTGGTTGATGTTGTTCATTTTGAACAGGGGAATCTTGGAATTCAATGTCAATTTTGCCGTCGGCTTCCGGAATTTTTATATGATTTTTGGGCGCTAAATTAGAGACATCTCTTGTATATATGAATGTGTTATTCTTGCTCAATTAATTCATCTACAATGCAACAGGAAACAAATCTATATCAAGTTTGTTCCTGTAAAGCTTCCATCGTCTGCAGAATCCTGCGCAATTATATTCTCAAGATTTGAGATTTACGAAGTAATTTAAGCCCGAAACAAAATCTGCGGTTCTGAATCCAAATTCTGAATAAGTGGGATCAGGTTTTTAGTTTTATGAGGAACACGCAAACGGCATTTTGCATTACGAAGTGGTTCTACAAAAATGAATATGAATTTTCATCGTCATGAAATGAAATTCAGCATGTACAAGCCCGTCCGGATGATGAGCACGATAGAGAACAGTGAAAAATGTAAATTCATGGGTTACGCCAAACAAGATACTACGCAACGCCACGCCAAACTGTTCCACCACGTAACATGCGTTTGGCTGGCTGGTGGCCTGGTGCACGCCATATATTTCAATAGTTATAATCGATGTTGCCTGGCGGAAGGTGGTCAGAAAACGGTCGGTACAGTAAGGGACGATCTAACTGCGGAGCGCATTTACGCATTGTGGCAAACGTAGTGCAGTGGCCATCGCGCTAAGCGCTAACATCGCGCTTAATTTGCGTTAGCTGTACCTTTACGTGCTCATCATCCGGACGGGCTTGTACACCGCATGATCATCCCGCCAAACGTGAAAACTAAAGAATGCATCATTTGACTTTTACACTGTACAGTCAATAATATTGTGTCAGTGAATAACATACGCGTTACATAATAACAGCGGGCGACTTGTAAAGAAAAAGGTTGAAATGAATTGTTGGGTAATGGGTACTGATCATAAGACTAGCATCGTTTATAATCGGGTACGTATTTTCGGCCATTATGTGAAAATATAAAGAAATTTTAACATTACTGAACGTACCACTCCGGTCTTTTGCAGTTCCGGTTTCAGCCGTATAACGCCCCGTTTCCTCGCCATCCGGCACATCGCTGATAATATCCCCAGCAGTGCGTGATCCTTCCCTGGAACTGGGCCTACTCGCACCTCCTGCGGCTTCAACAGCCGGGCGTCCGATCCATGGATCCCTCCATTTTCTGCGACGCGACCATTTATTTCGTTTCTTGATATTATCGTTTTGGCTTGCAGAATCCAGTAGGAATGTTCTCGGTGGAGGTGCATCCAAAGTTAAACCGGCATCTTGGATTATCTTATCCACCCTATAAGTTGTAGCTTAAATAAACTTTTATCACACGACAGGACGTCTTCCCGGCTAAAATAAATGGGGAACAACCGGTCGCAACACGTCGTACCTCTTTCTTCTCCCTTTTCGAAATTTTCCCGTCCGTCCAGCTGCGCACAGTAATCGTTTGAGATGGTAGAGGGACAGATTCGTCTTCTGCAGAATATAGGAGAGAGTGAAGCCATTGTCGTATAAATGCAGTATTTCCTGTCGTTCTGCCGGGGTGAGGTTGTAAATATCCCATGCATGGAGATCGGTAGTTGTTTTCTCTAACACGCTCGGGTAATTTTGGGGGCCCGACGTCGAGAAGGCTTGACCGGAGGGTAGCAGAATTGCTTCAGAGCGGCCGTCGGCGTTCAAAAGATTGTCCCGTTGGGGTTCGGCATTTCTTGGAATATCAGCCAGATCGGGCGGCATTATTTTGCACCTGGTCGCATGTACTTATTTACAAAACGGAAAATGGATCTTACGTATGCAGTAGATTATTTTCAGAATTGGCGTCCCTCGAACTTCGTTGTTGCTGTTAGGCAGATGTTGTCTGGACAGTAATTTGCGCCTTTCTCAGCACAGCACATATTGGTCCCGCAGCATGCGCAACCTAATTATATGTACTAGGGCTCCCAAGTACTGAAATGCTTTTTCCATTCCTTTCTTTAGCGCTGATCTCCAAGATAGGTGGACAGAAGAAGGCCGCGGATCAAAATTGAATTCACTTAATTACACTCAGGAACGCCATGAATTAAGTCTGCAAGGAACAAATGCTGTAAAATAATAATGATAGCAAATTAGCGTTATGGCCGTTTAACGAATATTTACACTACTAATACCGAGAATAATATGGTCATCTAACAGCCACCAACATCTCAGAACAGCCGGCATGCTTTCTTGCCTGTTATTATTTGACAGTTGACATCACTTGTCCGAGTGCTTCGTAAAATTAAGGTAACTGCGCCTATTAAACTTCAAATGCTTAAAACCCTGCAGCACTACGTCTACCTCGTACAATGTACACCAAAGGAAAAAGCTTAACTTTTATTCCACCACCATGATAGCTGCACTCCCAACAACTGTGCCGTTTCCACACAGTTGCATCAACTTATATATCACATCAATATGCATACTCGCATAACGCAATCATGTTCACATACAGCCACAAAACTATAAAAACACATGCGCCAATCTGGCCACGGCACATCTCACACATCCGTTCCTGCAGGCCAGGTTAGTCTTGCTTCCCTCTCATTCCCACTTGACCATCGGTCACAAGCACTCATGCATATCCAGATTCAGATCTATATTGCCACGAATGGGATACACCAGAGCCGGCAAACCAGAAAAGACTGACCAAAACCAATATTATATTCTGAAAGCCCGTAGTCGAAAACCCGGCCAGATAGTATTCATTTCTTTCAAAACCTCTCCCGCTTCGAACGCCGAAGCGGAAGAGTTTTGACTACCTTCACCAAATGTATGTAACTAAATTATTATAATAAAAATTATCGTCGTGGTATTTTTAAACAGACAGTGTTGCCACGTAAACCAACTAAAATAGAGTTAAAAAAATGAAAGTATTTTCCACTTATTAAAATATCAGAATGAATTTAATTAGTACACCGTTATTACGACAAGAACGACTACATATTATCTAACGTTGTCATCGAGGACGATTTCTAAACAAGTGTCGGCCGAGCAGCTATCGCTGCACGATCACTACTGCAATTGTATGTTAAAGTTAAATCAGTGATAGATCGAACTACCGCCACTGTTCAGTGCACAAACCCGATAGTTCAGAAAGTGACCGAAATACCACCATATTCTAGTTACAATAGCCCGCTAAGCCAGTGAGTGACCGAACTACCACTACGGATAGCTATGTGAGCGGCTGACCGAGCTGTCATTACTGTCCGATGCACACAGCCCGGTAAGCGAGCGGGTGACCGAGCTGTCACTACTGTAAAGTGTACCAAGCGCGTTAGGGAGCGAGTGACTGAGCTACCACTACTGTCCGTGTGTAGCCGGCAAGAATGTTAACGTGTTCACGGTTCACGCTGTGACCATATTTGACGGGCGAAAATGCTTGTGAGCATTTCTGACAGGCGAAAATGCTCACGAATTATATCATGCAGACTACTCTGTATTTGCAGGTTTTTAATGCAAAACGACTGAAACATCATACTTCAAAACGGATTGTCAATATCAGTTTCCGCTGATAAAAAACTTCGCTGAGAAAACAAATTATGATAAATGTCCCGGCAATGGAGCTAAGTGCTTGTACATCTACTGACACTCGCTCCTTTCGCCCACGAAAGCACAATGTCTTGTACTGCTTTCTGTCAGGCTGTACCCAACAAATGCCTATATTGGATTAAAAACATTTTCCTGTTTGAAAATTGGTTAAAGAAATCATTGAAAGTTTGACGAAGAACGACTAAACAGGTTTTCATTAAAAAACGTCTCTGTACATTTTTATCACTCGCAGTAAAATTGCCAGAAAGGGAAGTAAAAATCTATTTTTTTCACACAAATAGCCGTTTAATTTAAATTTGTCTATATGGTAATTTACATTTCCTGTATTTTAGCAAGCTGATGTTGCGCACACGAAAGGTTTCGAGAGACCAGTATAAAAATGTCCTTTGGTTGCAGTATAGTTTTATCACATCATTCGGTTGCAAAATATTTTGTCACAGTGCAAGTAACTATTATACCGGCCATTTTTATACATACACAGCATGGGAATTCATACCTGTACACTTTTATATGAACTGCTAGTTTTCTTTCAGTTTTTCATGTTATTCTGTACCTATACAGAACGCGCTGCGCTCCAATCTCGGCATTGTGGACTTTTGTACAACACATAAAGCAGATGTTGCTTGTTTATTACGCGCGAGTTTAAGGACAGTACACAGACCGCCCGCACTAGGCGTCGGCTTCTTTGACATCAAAGAAACCGACGTCTAGTGCGGGCGGTCCAGGGGAATTTACTGTCCCTTAAACTCGCGCGGGTACAGTACTTTGGATAACCAACGCATAACGTACAGATATTCTGATATATGTATTATGTAAACATTGATAACGTACAGATAACGTAACGATTAACGTACGGATATTCTGATATAGGTAAGTTTATACATCATATTTGTGAGTACGGACGCCGGGCAGGGATGCTCACGTTCTAAGATCTCTGTGGTAATCGGATACCGGTGACATTTGCCGCTCTTGTATGCAAATCAGACGCGCTTTCACTCTTCATAGCTACATGCAGGCGGTTCATATTATATACACTCGTGAACACGGGAGCCGGGCAGGGATATTCACACATCGTGAACACAATTGTGAACATACTGTAATTTACGAGCGGCAATATTACCGTTTTAAAAATCAAAAGCCGATTACCGTAGCAATAATCATTTTTGTACATGTAGTTTAAGATTATGGCCCCAAGTTGCATTTTTACTTATAGTAATTTTACCTCTGTATTTATTATCCACTAGAAACCACTTTGTATTGTTACGAGTATGGTAACTTGCAAAACATACAAGTTGTTTATTTGCGCAGCGGATTACTGTGGATCTCCACTTCCAGAGTTATAAAGCAACCACACCGTCTTTACATGTTCATTCATCCACTATCTTAACAAATGAACTGACAAAAATCCACGGGCAGAGAGCATCTGATTGAATACAGAGCCGCCAGAATCCCAGTCTGTTGAAAGCACATGATGGTCTTAAATAGCAAAGTGGAATCTTTCCTTACATAATTACATGTATATAATGCCGCGATAAATAGATAAATGGGGAATACGGGAGAGAGAAATTGTCAATTGTTGATGGTGGTTTGTGATAGTCTGCCGTGGTGCCGTGTCCATTCCATCGCGAATGCTCTTCTACATCTACGTACAGTAACCGGGTGTCCATAACGCACAACTATTCAGTGTCGCGGCATAACTGCGCTAAACATAACGACTTAATATATAACGCATCATTTTTTCGTGCGCTTATAATTTTTTTGCAGTCACGTAATTTGACAGCTAATGTACGTTTTTTTACTTAGAATTATTAATCATTTTAATTTTTTTGGTAATGATGTAATAAATTTAGGCTAACTAGCACAATAAGGTTTCAATGCCAACTGCCGTCCGGTTATTCTATGTAAACGTCAATGTTTATCAACGATTTCTAATTACTCGTATTTTCTACGTGCTTAGCGTAAGCATTTATAAATGCTCACAAACGTGAACATCGCCGCCGGCGCCGGGCACCCATGTTCATGAAACATGTGAAACGTATAAATCAGGCTGTAAGAATATTTCGCGCACATTTACTTGAAATTTTTCTTCTGGGCCCACCAAGTCACTTGTTTGCTTAATTTATGATTTGGCAGCCAAATAATTTGAATTTTTTGAAAAAATTGCCTAGCATGTAACTATCATATTTTGTAGAGGTATGACAATTGAACATTAACAGATACTTTGAACCCATTGGTGTGCACCGGATAAAGCAAAATTTTTTTATTTTCATCCATTCTTGCAGCGAGGGTAAGTATGGAGAATTCTAAATTAAAAATTGGTAACTAGCACTCTTTTAAAGCTTTTGCAAGTTTAATGAAATTTTCGAATTTATTTCTAGGGGTGAAAAACGTGAGCATCCGCGCCCGGCACGCGTGCTCACAAACGTGAACATCCCTGCCCGGCTCCCGTGTTCACGAGTGTAATGCGAACCGCCCGCATGCCGCCATTTACAGTAAGTATAATAGCAGCGCGTATGATACGACAGCGGTTAATATCAGCGGTATCCAGTTACTGCAGAGTTGCAAACGTGAGCATCTCTGCTTGGCAGTGACGACACCCATGCTCATTATTGCAATAAAGAATGGCAATAAACATTCAGTAATCAACGGCTAATTTTTTGCTCGCAAAATCACCTACACATAGTGATAAAATTAACACGAGTATTTTTCGGAAACAAACAATATCCCCATTTCGCATTATTGCGAAATGGGATATTGCACAAGAGGGACTGCCGGGCAGGGACGCTTCTGTCGGATGTAGTAAAGCCTTCATACAAACGCATAACTGTGTGGTCCTGCGGCAATTATCAAATTTTAGTTCACTACATTTGCGCTGCCATACAGAAATTGGTTTAAAAAATGAAATAGAAAAATTGCCAGAATTCGAAGAAGAACAGTTTTTGTGTGAGAAGCGTTGTATTTTCCAACCAATTCAAGCCATACTTTGCGTACGGAGAATATAGCAATATGAAATATTCCATTTCAGCTAGGATGCAGAGGAAATTAACATGTAAAATGCATTATAATATCATTTGTGAGCATTTTCGCCCGTCAAAAATGCTCACAAGCATTTTCGCCCGGCAAATATGCTCACAGCGTGAACTGTGAACATGTGAACATTCTTGCCGGCTACATCCGTGCACACAGCCCAGGAGGTGAGCGGGTGACCGAGCTGTCACTACTGTCCACTGTACAAAGCGCGTTAGGGAGCGAGTGACTGAGCTATCACTACATTCTAGTTACAACGAGCAGGACGCGGGACCAAAGACTTAAAAGATCTTCAGTGACCAAAGGCTTAAAAGGCTTTCAGTGACCAAACGTTTAATCAGGCGGGTACTGCACGCGTGGCTTCCGGTGACCAAAGGCTTAAAAGATCGCGTAGCGCACGCGTGCCTTCGGTGAACAAAGGTTTAAAATTAAAAGGTGGGTGCTGCAAAGTTTGTTAAGGTAATTAAAGTTATCGGGTTTGTTAAAGCACTAACGTTTTGAAGCTTAGTAAGGAGTAAAAATGAAGGCCAAGGTCAAAAAGAGGAAGGAATAAATAAAGGAAGGAATGTTTTTTGGTCAAAAAGAGGAAGGAATAAATGAAGGAAGGAAATTCAGTGGTCAAAAAGAGGAAGGAATAATTAAAGGAAGGAATATTTTTTGGTCAAAAAGGGGAAGGAAATTTCGGTGGTCAAAAAAGGATGGTCAGAAAAAGGAAGCAAATTTGTGTGCGGTGAAAAAATAGGATGCAGAAAACACACAGAGTTTTTTTAAATGTTTTTTTTTAGTTTTTTTAAAGCTTTTACTAATTAAATAGCATTTATTTAGTTTTATTTAGTAGCACATCACTAAATTGTTTTCACGATCCACGAGGGTAGCTCCTGTGTCGGCTCTTTTTTAACGGCATGGTCCGCTAAAGCCGATGCCGGTGCTGATCTATTGAATTATTCGAGCAACTCATTAGATGACGCTGTTTTAAGTACAAAATAACGGCATTAATACACATACATAATTTGTGTTTGAAGTCCCCGGTATCTTAACATAAACCGTAACTATATTATGGTAAAAAAAGGATAATAATAAAGCAATATTAATCAGCTGCATAATAAAAACTACATAGTGTTGTAAAATGAAAAAGTGCATATCATTATGTACATGCTGGAACCATACTTGTACTTTGTGGGCATTGTTACGGATGCATCACTTACCTGTTAGCTTCGCTCAACGTTGGTGCCGGTGTCCCTTTATTATAATCGTAAGGATATGTTCCTATGTACTCAACGTCATCATCGGGAGCAACAATCTTAGAAGATTCCATAGTGGGTACTAATTAGTATTTGCATCTGCGTCAAATGAATTATCGGTTTTTTTGCGAGTATTTCCGTAAATCCACGCACGATCCACGAGTTCGCTACAGGTACGCAAGACTAAGCCATTATGCTGCACTTCGGTAAGATGAGTGAAGGAAGAATAACCCTGGCCAACATGGCAAACTTTCTTAACCAGTAATACCCACTCTACCACTGAGATTTCATTGCAGTATGTAGAAAAAGCAGACGCCTTACTTCTACTGATAAGTCACGTATCATTACATGAACGCAGACTCGGAGACTATCAAATCATTTACCCGCCAAAACGGTGCAGGCGTTTTCTATGTTGTGTGTGATTTACATTGTAAATGAGGAATGGTAATGTCGAGCCGGATTTAATTTTTTGAATGTGGGCTGCCCAGTCGGACTGCCTTGCCCAGTGGTACTGTATTTCTACAAAATGCAGTAAACCGGCAGCCTACATACGATGATCGTCGCTGCCACATAAGAACATTTAAAAAAACTCTGTGCGTTTTCTGCTTCCTATTTTTTCACCGCACACAAATTTGCTTCCTTTTTCTGACCATCCTTTTTTGACCACCGAAATTTCCTTCCTCTTTTTGACCAAAAAATATTCCTTCCTTTAATTATTCCTTCCTCTTTTTGACCACTGAATTTCCTTCCTTCATTTATTCCTTCCTCTTTTTGACCAAAAAACATTCCTTCCTTTATTTATTCCTTCCTCTTTTTGACCACTGAATTTCCTTCCTTCATTTATTCCTTCCTCTTTTTGACCAAAAAACATTCCTTCCTTTATTTATTCCTTCCTCTTTTTGACCTTGGCCAAAATGAATGTAGAAAAATGTCCGTGCACCCAACCCAGGAGGTGAGCGGGTGACCGAGCTGTCACTACTGCAAAGCGTACAAAGCCCGTTAGGGAACGAGTGACTGAGCTACCACTACTGTCCATGCACATAGCCCAGGAGGTGAGCGGGTGACCGAGCTGTTACTGTTGCCCATTGTACAAGAATGACCGAACTAGCAGTCTACCACTGTAGTCCAGTTGACAGAGCCAAATGGCACGAATAAAAACGATTATATAATTAAAAAACAGAAATTCGAATCGACCGCCCATAAACCACAAGAAACGCGGAGGCGAAGCCGAGGTGACCGAACTACCACTACTATCCCGTGCACAGAGCCCGCTAGGTAAGCGAGTGCACAGAGCCCGGTAGGTGAGCGGGTGACCTAGGTACCACTGCTGTCCGGCGCAAGAAGCCCGGTAGGTGAGCGGGTGACCGTGATGTCACTAACGAGATGTCACTAGCGTACAAAGCCCGTTAGAGAACGAAAAACAGCCTCGGCTTCGCCTCCGCGTTTCTTGTGGTCCACGGACCACGGCCACTTTATTTAATTTTGAATGAATATTTATTGGTATACATCTATATTTCGTCGAAAAATGTTCGATAGGTACAAGTATACCACAACAGGTGTCACGAGGAAGGTCTAACACCCCCTCGAAATACAGATAAATCTGGATGTGGAAGAACACGGGCCTTCCACAAAATAAGAGTTTATTGCCCAAAAAAGGGAAAAATATAGAAAATGGGGAAAGAGAAGCAATAAACTGAGCATTTCCACAGGAAATGCAGGAAATATACCAGCAGCCACCTAGGGCGGCTGCTCCATACATCTAGCATGCACCGTGACACATGCCCTCCTTCGAAAAAGGGCTGCCCCCAGCCCGTAAGAAAACACATAAGACAATGACGAAATGGTTTTAACAACCAAAAAAGATACAAGAAAACAGAAAAATAAACTCTTTCGCCAAAAGGCGCACTCCAGGTTGTCCAGCAGCCGGATGGCGGCGGAGGCAGGATGCGCAGAAGGGCTGATTCAACCCTTGGAATCGGCGTGCAGCACGCCCGCCTTGTCCGGATCCTTCACCACCCTGGGCGATACAGGTTCATCGGCCACATCGGCCCTGGCTCTGCAACGGTGCTCCAATACGGCCGTCCTGCGCTGTATACAGGGACGGTCCTGCGGAGGCTTGAACATCGGTAAGCAGCAGTAATGCCTCGGGTTACTGCTGCTGAACGTTTTTTGGCGATTTAGAGGAGTGAACGGCACGCCGTACCGTTTTCTTCGAAGTTGCACGGTGGAGGACGGTGACAGCGATGTGTTCCGTAAGCGACACACGCTTAGCGGCAGTTAATGTCGCTGTATTACGGTGGTACGCACGGGGACTGGCCATCCGTTCCTGGTCTGTCTGGCGCACAGGTTGCATGGCGCCTTTTCCAGTTGGTGGAGCAGGAGATAATGCTGATGACATGGTATGAGGGGACTAGCATCGCTGCTGGTACCTCGGTCCAAAATGATGCCGGTATCGCACTGGGAAATCGCTGTGCGGGTGCGCTTGGCTGCTAACGGCGCAACGTCATCAGTCCCTGTTTCGGTCTGCGTTGTACGGTGCTGCTGAACAAGGCGTACTGGCGGGCGCCGAGCTGCCAGCCGTCGCAGTGCTGCCCCTCGCTCCTCGGCCAATTCCGCATAAAAGTTCCGCTCCTTCCAGTCGAATCGTTTCGGATCGGTAGAAATTGTTTTCGTCCAGCAGCTGAAAGCTGCTGCTCGCTCAGCCTGACCCTGTAACTCACTGGCAGCGAAGGGGTCGGTCGTAGAGATGCTCTGTGTCGCAGGCATTGGAGATGTCCCGATCTCTCACTTGCAGGCTTTGGGCTCAGATGGCTGCCCCACGTAATAGTCAAAGGTGCAGGGCACCTTTCTCTTCGGTTTGGGAGATAGTGCGGGGCTGGAATGGCTACTATGGCCATTAGAAGCAGCGGGACCACGTCGTACAACGGTGTGATCACTGCTATATCCACTAAAGGCATAAGATGGTGCGAACTGGACCGGCTGTTCTTGTCCAGAGTAGAAGAGAGTGTCAGGATAAATTTCGTCCACAGGTTGGCCACCATACGTCCACCGGTATGGGGAAATCTGATGGGAAACTGACGAGGTCCCTGTCGGCATCCACGAACCCACAGGGCAGGCTACGTCTCCATCAGACTGGTGCATTTTTTGCCAGGAGCGCCATTTGTCACGAGGAAGGTCTAACACCCCCTCGAAATACAGATAATCTGGATGTGGAAGAACACGGGCCTTCCACAAAATAAGAGTTTATTGCCCAAAAAGGAAAAATATAGAAAATGGGAAAAGAGAAGCATTAAACTGAGCATTTCCACAGGAAATGCAGGAAATCTATACCAGCAGCCACCTAGGGCGGCTGCTCCATACATCTAGCATGCACCGTGACACAGGGCAAAAGCACGGATTTTATATAAAAATAACTTCATGAATCTCTCAAGGTCGGAAGCATTCCCTTTGGCTGTACAGATAATTTCTGTTATATCCTCTACCCGAAAAGAAACCCGAAATCTCACTGTCTATCAGGTAAGTACTAAATCTGAAATAGTTGAAGTGCGCTGGACACTATCACTAGTTCGGTAACTCGGTCACTTCGCAGGCTTTTGTCACTGGCGAATGATTTGTGCCCGCTGGTATATGTCCGGTCAGTAGTGATACCTTGCTTATCTAACAGGATCTGTGCACTGGACAGTAGTGGTAGCTCGGCCACCCGCTCACCTAACGGACTCTGTGAACTGGACATTAGCGGTAGCTCGGTCACCCGCTCAACTAATGGGCTCTGTGCACTGGATAGTAGTGGTAGTTCGGTCACTCGTTCAACTAACGGAGACATGCGGAGGCGAAGCCGAGGCTGTTTCTTGTAAATGCATAACACCATAAAGAAATAAATGTCCCGCACAAATATTATCATAAATGATATAGCTCAGACTCGGCACAAACAAGAACATAAGGTATGTTCAACCATGCAATCCACGCTATCCACTGTCCACGGCCATAAATCTCCATAGTCGTAACAAAATCAAAATTTAAACAAATGCCGTTTTTTCTGGGTCGTCATGTACAGAGGGTGATTTCGCAATATGCTTCCAGCACGGACACAAAGTTGCAGTAATTCTCTCCCTTCTTTCCTTCACTTCTTGTCGCTTAAAAACACTTTAATATGTGCTTTATAATTCATAATTAATTGAATTCGAAAAAAGAAGTAAGTGGCCCTTAAAAGTAATTTTAAAGCGGAACGCCCAGTTTTCCAAACCAAAACAAATTTTTGACGAGGAAATCTTTTTGCCAGTTTCCTTATTTTCTGAAATTTGACACAGACCGTCGTAATCGGTTAGGCGCAAATGTGGCTTCTTTATTCGGACGGGAGATACGAAATTCCGTGCTGCTGCTTTTAAGTATCGTAATAACAAAAATTGAAAATTTGGTAAAAAACGAAATCGAATGATGTTTGCTTTCCGAAATTATTTACCGGGACAACAATGAGTGCATGTGGTCCCTTCCAGTGTTAAAACCACTGTAGATGTCTATAGTAAAACGTCGCTTAAAAAAACTTCTCAGGACAAGCAATCTGGATTTGCAGCCCGGGGAGGAACGCAAGAGGAACAGTCAAAATGGCTATCTTCCAGTTCACGAAGCTAACACAACGTACCAGTGCCTAGAACTTCACGAAGCCAGATGTTTTCTAAAGACCACATGATGTAACAGTTTACTAAACTTGGCACCCATAGATTATGAATTGATGACGATTTTTTAGCAAATTTTTAATGGAAGGCACTGGAAAACGTTTTGCGAATTGTTACACTGTTGCGCACAGACCCTTGTCGGTTTGCAAAATCCCACCGTATTCTAAGTTGCTTTCTATTTCTAAAAATTAATTTGTTATGATCGCTAAGAGAAAGGGCTTTCAAACTTAACGGCTCTAAAAATAAAATATGCACGGTGAGGATGGCAATAAATTCATAAAGAAAGTGGAAGCATATTGCAAAATCACCCTCTGTACAGCACGAAAGCGAGCGTGTTTGTCAGGAAATCTTGACGAAGGTCGGTTCATAACGAGACGTTTAGTGTACCTTATTTGATTTTTAAGTTTCTGAAAACATGTTCCCAGTATAACTCCCCGACCGGAAGTAGCGCGAGAAAGCGTACGCAAAATCAATCGTCTACAGAAAGTTAAGTAAAAAACAGCGGAAAAAAATCAGTGATTGGGCGTGCCCGGAATTGATAGTTCATGTGCCTGAACACGAACCAAATACAGATATCCCAGTCATTTCCTTTTATATTTGATGTTGCATATAACAGGCAAAAGGTCAACAGTGAAACAAAGTAGTCCCGTACTTGCCACCGTCACCCGAATAGAGTATGACATTGCGGCCGTACATTTGACTGAATCCGGGGCGGTACACAGGCACCATGTGCAGTGTACTACATCATCACCCTAGTTCCCATCAACGGCAGTATATAAGTACTGGGATTCCCTGCCTCGGCTTTGTCCGCCCCCGATATTATCCTTCTGCTAATATTCTTGCTCCAAAGATACTTATGCTTGCTCCAAAGATACTTGAAGGGCAGAAAGAATCGATTTCGAACTGTAGACTATTGACTATTGAGTGTCTCTCCGGTTATACAACGAATACTATGAGGTTATATTTTCTTACAACTATTTTTCGTACCACAACACTCCGGTACAAGCGTTCGCAAAATGTTAAGAAATCAACTTCATTAGGAATACAGGAAAATCGTTGCCGCCCTATAGCCTATGCAAAGGAATATTTATAATCAGAAGTCAATAATCGATGCATCAATAACCATTTGAGGAGAATCTCTCGGATGGAGTCGGAAGTGGAACTGCGCCTATTATCTTCCAACATCTGGATGACACACCCAAATAAAAACGAATCATTTGACGCACGCATAAAGCGGCGATAGCTTAGAGTCATAAAAATCTCATTAATACAAAATCAGACAGTTGATAACAGGGATAGACATGAACGATTTAGACGTGATTCAGTTGATCAGCCTCGTTGTCTTTACGCAAGTTGAAGATCAGCAAGCGCGGTTAACTGGGTAAAGTGTTCTGATTACCCATGCAAAAAATTTTAGATAATAAAACCAAGAATAGTGACAAAAAGGAATTTGGTGTCTTGTTAATGAAAACAATTTGTATTTTCCGTTAATATCTGAAAATTCTGAAATGCTCTGCCATGACAGTGGCATGTTGCACAATATTTGCTGTTGAATTTTAAATTTATCAGTGAAAATAAAATCGATGCGAGGGCAGGAGTGCCAATAAAAAGGAACCCTGTCAAATAGGACTGCAAAAATGTGGAGGAGAAGTATTGTTAGCTACTTTGTTTTTCGTTTGCCTAATCTTCATCGAATCTTGTGTATTCTGTTTTCTGGGATGGATTAAATAAAGGTCATGTACGAAAAATATATCACTTGTGTGGTAATTTAAATGGCATAGCGGAAAAATAGAGAACGTTCCTAGGGAATTCATTTCCTACTACGTGTACGACACCATAATGCTTTACAAAGAGCACAAAGGTGTAAAAGAAATTATCAAGAGCAGATTAAGGGAAATGACCCGGTACATGGTGTCAAAATGGGATTCATACACTAAGACTTTCGCTTTCGCGCACTCTGAAACACTTTTTTGTATTGCTTTATGTCATTCTAAAGCTAAATGATTTGTGTACATCGTTCTGAAAACCGTTTGCGCGCGCAACATCATAGCATTTTCAGGTTCATAGCATTTTTTCCGATTTTAAAATGAATTTCAAAAATTTTAAAATTTCATATTAAAATTATGGGAGAATGCAACCTGAAATTGGTTTACTTTCGACTTCATGGCCATGTGTCTTTTGCAGCAAAGTTTCAAGAAGATCGGGCAATGACCAGACTTTTGGTACACAACAATGCATTTAAACTTTTCGACCATTTTAGTTCGGCATATCTCGGCAATCGGATGTTGCGCGCGCAAACGGTTTTCGGAACAATGTTTACAAATCATTTAGCTTTAGAATAACACAAAGTATTGCAAAAAAGTGTTTCGGAGTGCGCGAAAGCGAAAGTTTTAGTGTATGTATCCCATTTTTGACGCTATGTACCGGGCCATTTCCATTTACCAATGAATTTTTTTTTACCAATGAATTTTTTTGAATGAATTTACCAATGAATTTTTGGGCCATTTACCAATGAATTTTGAGAAACTCTCCTGTTATTACCATTTTCCCAGTCTTTTAGAGAGATCGCTGAAAGAGACCGGAAGTATATTTCCGCACCAATCAAATGCCTGTTATCGAGGGGCCGTGAAAAAAGTTTGGTGGTTCATTGTACTGATACCGTAGAAATTGATAAAAACGGCCAACAAATCGAATTACAAATAAGCTTATGAGTTTTGTATTTCAGACTGTACCACTCTGCACATTAGAGACGGAAAGCATAAGGTCCACCCACTTAATGCATACATTCCAAGTATTCGGAAATGGCTTCGAATCTGGTAGATAATTTAAAGAAAATCTTCGTCATCAGAATCCTTGTAATTTTTGCGCAGTCGTTCATCTCGTAATCGCTGTTTGGAAATAGATTTGTATCTCATCGACTTCGAGTAGCACTACATTTTATTTGTTGTAATTCTCAGCAAAGATAGTTCACATGCACAAATGAATACGCTACACATACACATGCGCTTATGTGGCAGTACACTCAATGTCTCAAAACTATTAAAGAAAGAAATTTTTCCGTGGCCGGCACGCCTATAGGCAGCGTGTAGGCTTGGAATTGGATGCATAAAATGATGTCATACAGCGCTGTTCTGCTCGCGACCGACTGAAAACTGATGAAGCTTTGATTGCCGTTATGTTTCAAGTTCAGCATGTTGAGTGCGGTCTACTCTACTGTTCGTTAGGAATTAATTAATCGACTCATTCGAACTGCTCTCTGGCGGAATCCATGCTCAGGTAGTACACGATCGTTGCTCTATGTTAGCAGCCGGCAGAACGACCTTCGAAGCAGCATGAATGTTCCGCGCTTTTGATATGTATCTGTAATTCTATACTAGTACCCACTCAGCTAATAATATTAACCACATAATAATGCAGCATTGGGAAAAATCACGCCGGAAGTACAAAATTGCTTAACGCTGCAAGTAGAACGTATGCCATGCCCGGGAGGGGGTAAGCGGCGGTCGAACAGTCTTTCAGTGCAACTTGGTGATAAACGCACAGTATTTATTGTGATCATAGATTCATAGTTGACCGTTACCACATTTTACAAATCAGTGACAACTCTGTATTTGCGTAGCGTTGTGGACGAGGGTTTTATTTTGGAGAAAATACTCTTCCGATTATGGGATGGTATTGTTAAAACTTAAAACGACTTTTCAGAAGGTCTTCAGTTTGTAGAGGATCCCCATTTTGGACAAGGTCACTAATCGATAAATTTACAAAACATTTCTTCCGTATGAATTAATATTGCAAATACTGCATAATTGTGGCTTCTTCAAGGCTTTCTCTGTTATGGTCAATCATGTTGAAATTTGGACGCATGCGGTTTTCCTGTACAAGTCCAAGCTTGATATCTTTTCGGAAAAAAATTACAAAACTATTTTGTTTTATTTTATTACAAATTTCAGTCGGGCTGACATAGAACCTTGTATAAAAAATTTAGGGTTTATGTTAACTCAAGACAAATTGTGTTTTATTAAGTCTTTTGCAATGTTAACAACAAAATAGGTACACAATTTTCAGCGCTCTTAATACCGAATATCGGACATCTAGTACATATATACAATTGAACTGCGAGCCATCACCGCATGCATGCACCATTCATGAGTAATTTATGTACTTCCGGCGAATTTCTGTATATGGTAAGTCGTGCGAGGAAGAACGGTACGGCAGTGTCTGTTAAAATTAACTCCTGTAGAATTATGTAGTAGCAGCACAGAGGTTTAAGAAACTGAACACCGTTTAGCGGAAGATTCGCCATTATTCTGGCGTTCTACGCACAGTGGACTTTTACATAGATGGTTATATCCACGGCCGTATAGCGCTGTTTACACATTTGTGTGGATATTGTGTAACACCAATTTGGGGTCCAGTGTACGTAGGTGCTAGTATGTATTTGCCCATTTCCTAGAACACATGCCGGAATAATGTTGCACATGCGGAAATGGGACCGCAGAAACCGAGGCTATGAGGAGTAGTTAATTACATTCTAGCCAGGAAAGTTTGATCCGTTTTACTCTTTACTCATTATTCTTTAGAACGAACGGCGTCCTGTTGCGAAAAGTACGGTGTGGTAAAATCACTGCTGTCCCAGTTGGATGCTGAAGGTGCTCTCTCCGTGTTACTTTCCTCGGAAACGTCAGATGAATGATCAGAAAAACCTCGCCGTTACTTCCGGTTGGTACTGTTGGCTGGGCATTTGGGCGCATCGCACGCATACTGTCCATGGTCAGACCAAATTCTTTGGTAATATTTCATAGATCCCGCTCTATTCATTTACAAGTTAGCTGTACGAGCGGTGAATAAGCTTCAAAATGCCAACTTTAGCCGATTGCCTTTTATAGATTCTGTCAAAGTCCAGATAAACCGCCGGCCCAAAAAAATTAATTTGGCCGGGATCGGCTGCCAACCGGCAGATTCGTAGAAAAATTCGTTCCTTCTGTAGACATCACAAACCAACATGGAGTCCCTCATCGTGCGTTGATACGGGTCTTAACTGTGGGATAAAATAGGTAAAAATCGCGCTGTACTAGAAGCGATGGAAAATGAAATCATTGCCAGTATTTGTTGTATCTGTATAGGGCGGAGATATCAAGCAGTTGCTTTTTTCGATGCGGTCGGAATTTAACTTTCAAAGTGATTAGCGAACGTCAGTAATGGCTAACGTGACATTCATGTGACCTTTATAGCGATGGGCCGGCAATTATGTTCCAGTAAATTGTAGTGCTTGGTACGCTGTTGTAAATGCATGAATTATTAATATTGGGCTATTAGAAACAAGACAGTTTTGCGTTTATCTTCGCATATTAATTTTATCAAACAGACGGTGACGCATAGACTGATCAATGAAATTTGTTGAATACAGTAAAAATTTAATAAGCTTCGCACAGCGCATTGTTGTACAACACGATACAAACCGCTTCAGAGTATTATCAACTCCCAGCTAGCTGTGGCACATAGTGCCAGTGGTATGGTATAACGCATACAGCATCAGTTTTTTCGTTTTCATATCAATACTTTATAGCTAAAAAATGTCCTTCTCGTTTCCACAGCAGTATTGGAACTGCATAATGATTATTCCGTGAGTTTTTTATGCTTGTATCCGTACTTACGATAAACGTACGCATCCATACGCGCATTCGTACATACAATTAACACAATTGTTAAGATGCTTGACTTGAAAGTTGTAACATACCGTACAAGCAAAAAACGCAGTTCGACTATTATTACAATTATTTTTATATAAATTACACTATGAGTACTGTATTTGCATACGTATCTGTGCACTGGAACGTTCTGGATTATTTAGTACTCGTATAAATTTAAGAGCGGGTTTAGCTAATACAATGCTTACAATGCAATTCCTGCGCAAACTTAGCGGGACATTTTTTCCATTGCCAGGCTTCATTGTCGAGTAATATTACTAATTATTGTTTGAAATTAAAAATGAATCCCACTGACATTCAACCGAAGCAAATAAGGACAAGTACGTTTTCTATTATGCAGATTTCGTTCTTTTTCACATACAGATAGCTGACAAATCATTCTTGCGCTGCTGCATCGTGGTACTCACAGATATAAGAACACAAAACAACAAAAAAACGAGAAAAATGAAAACTGGCATCACCGTAATTTTTGAAGTCAAAAAACTGACAATAAATGCCCATACTTGGTTAATGTACAGCTTTAATAGCGTGCAGTGTGCAGTTTTGCAGCGCAGCTCCCGATTGATACTTAATAACGTGTTTGCCTAACTTCGCCGGCTTTCGGCTTTTAAATTTACATCCAGTACAATATAGAAAAATCCCGGTAGCCAGAAACTGTTCATCCACTGTGTCGGCCAAATGGAACAGAAATGGTTCCTCGTCGTCCCAGGATAAAGAACAAATCTGGCATTGAAATCGGCCGCCCGTGGTCGTATTTTCTTCATGGAAAAGCGCTGTTCCGGAAGTATTTTCCGCGCATGTGCCCGGCGTGATTACGGATGATTCTATGATTTTCTCCTCCTTTTTAACTTGATCTTGGGAAACGTGTTTTGATATGATTTCTAAGGCGATGCCGGCTTCCTGATTTACCGTCTGTGTGTGGTCAGCGGACGCTAAATTCCCAAACATATTTCATTTTTCGATTGTGCGAGACAGATTACAGTTCCTTTTATTATGCAGTTTTTCAACGAAACTACTGTACGTGTTTAGCAATCGGCACGATGGCTGCCCTGATATTATTTTAAAGAGAAAGGCTTAGTGAAAACTTTGCTTACAAAAGTTTAATCCATTTTAAAATAGTCTGTCGTGTTACGCGAAATTTTTGTAAAGCAAAATCTGGGAATACTGTACTAAAAGTTGCTGCACGTGAACTCACTCAATAAATTCTTATTCTTTTCTAATCCTGCCGCTTTACCTCGGTATGGAGCCTTAAATTCGGTACGAAATTTATGTCGCGTCTAAATTGTTTCTCTAGAAGGCATATTGAAAGGCTTTAAAACAGACAAGGTCGCTAAACCTAAGGAAAGTGAAGAAGCGCTCACGAACAATTAATCGGCCATTTTTAACAGACTTACGGCGACAGTTTTTCTATCAACAACTTTGAAATTTCGTTAAAAAATACTCGACCAAAAAATAATAATAATATCGATCTATAAATAATATTAATATTATTAATATCATTTTATAATTACCAATATCAAATATGTTATGCTTTACTTCAGTTATTTGCACTTTTTATAGTCTGGATTATCAGTCGATTATTAGCATATTTATTAGAATTACCGAGTTTTATCCGACATACCGCTTCTGGCTCCAGCGATACCGGTTTCTTCTTGGCTGGGCTTCCCATCTTCGGTGGTGGCGCATATATTCTTCCACTGTAGATCATCCAATGCAATACTGATAATAGAACGCATTCCATTTCCGGAGCTGGGCATATCAGTATGCGCATCTTCAGCGATAGTCCAATCGAGATGGCGTCCAATCCGTGGTTCTCTTCGTTTTGGACCACGTGACACGCGCCATACACCATCCTGCTTCTTAATCGTGACGATCACGTGTTTATCAAGGCCTGTAAATTTCAGCGGAGACGGTTGCACACGGGTAGGTTTTTCACGGGGAGTGCGCGTTCTGGGCATTAAACCGGCGTCCCTGATTATTTTTCCCACCCAGAACATTTTAGCTTTGACGTGTTTCTTTATCGCATGGAGGGACCAGCCCTGCTTAAACAGCTCCAGAACAACCGGTCGCAATGCGTCGTACCTCTTTCGATTCCGTTCGCGAAAGGTTCTCCCGGCTATGCCCAATAACTGCTCAATGTAGCAGCTGGACACATTGGTCCTTCGCATAATGTAAGAGCAAGAGTGTCCTTGATCGAATAAATCCAGGATTTCTTGATTATCGTCGGGAGTAAGGTTGTACATGTCCCGTGTCTTCACAGTTCCTGATTCTCTTCCTGGTGCGCCCTGGGAGGCTTCCAAGCTAGATGTCGAGCATGAATGATCAAGCAAGTGCCGATTGGCATCCGAACGGCACTTTACAGCCGTCGCTGAGTTAGTGCAGTCCCCCACATTGTTGTCCCGCTCGCTAAACATTCCCGTTCTCCCAGCTGCGCACAACACCTGCTTAATCCTGTTGCGAGACAAGTTGGTTTTACGCATAACGTACGAGCAAGTGAATCCTATGTCGAACGAATCCACGATTTCTCGTTTTTCTTTCGCCGCAAGCTCCCATATTTCCCGCTCCTTAACCCTTGCCATTTCGTCCTCTGCCTCGCCCTGTAATCTTCGGATGTTAATCGTCGAATATTACTGATCAAATGAGCGCCGCATTACTGCGGGAAGATTCTCGACAACTGCGCTGTTGAGTATGTATATTCTTCCATTCGGTTGTCCGATGCCGGCTGTATCGGTTCTCCCGGAAGGAAAAACTTTCACCAGCGGGAGTCAGCAACATCATGAACGTCAGCAAGTTTATTTTGGGCTCTACAATACAGGCGGACGTACCGTTCGATACCTTCAACACAAAAATTAATGTGAATATTGGTCGGCAGTCACGCATACTTTTATGAGCCGATTTGCACAATTCTTTGCCACATCAGTGTTTTCATGACTCACCCAGCCGGGACGCATTAACAGATCTGATAGCACGGAACTTTTTCATAGGGCGCACATATACAGACGCGACTCTGTGCATGCAGTAATCGTCCGTGGTAATTACATCATCAAAGTCCTGGTAGTGATTTTGTCGGCTGTTGCTCAGCTTTCCTCCCTTCGTTTATTTTGCGCAAAAAACTCCGTGATTCAGCCCTAAGCAATGAAAATTCAGTGTACTAACAATATATATGTTCATTGCAAATTAATTTTACAAAAACCGGCGTAAATACGACATGTAAATCCTTAAATTTAATAAAATTTTCCCATCTGTGCGACAATTCAAACACACAGTGCAGCACACAGTGGCTCAGGGTTCGCCCTCTTATGGATAGGTGTATAGTGGGTGGATACGATCAGATATTAGGTTAGATTAACTATGAGTAATACATACTATAATTTAATTTCAAACAAGAATCATGTAATAAAGGCCTAAAAACGTGTCGGAAATACTGTAGTACTACCACTTTCAATGAAATTGCTAACAAATCTCGCAGTTAATTCAACCAACATTGTCGCTTATTTGGCTACCCGAATTATGCAAACGTTCATTCGTTAATTATGCTCGAAATATCAATCCAGGTATCGGTACTGCGTTTTTCATCGTCAGTAAAGCCAAGCATACACATTCGGCTTAATAATTTTAATAGTATTTCCACCGAGTTACGACAATAACATTGTTCGCAGACTTCACTTGAAAAGTAATAATATAACGTTCTAACTACAGTATAGGACTTCTACATGGCGCTTATGTACATTTACGTACCTACAACTACAAGCGCCTTGCCGGGTTTGGCCATACACGTGCCTGGAAGCACTTATATTGCCTAAGTTTGTATACACGCGTGGCAGTTGTTCAAAAAAATAAATATATAGTGAAAATGACTGGTTATTGACAAATCCGAAAAGTCCATGCTCAGAGTCAGTTGTTAATCATATTCAACTCCGGTACCAAAAAAACGGGATAATACAGTTACTAAATCAGCATTGATGGAAATGGTGCGTTTAATTACAGGGACGTGATTAAGAAGGCACTTAATTATAGTCTTATACTAGCATACGCTGCTGGCTAGGATCAATTTAATAAAAAATGCACCGAATACCACTTACCTACTATTACCAATAAAATCTTGCGTTCCACATACTACAATTTTGTTAAAACTTGCGTTCCAGTTCCACATATCATCAGTGATTCAATCCGAGGCAGAGATATACGAACAACCTTTGCCAGTAAACCGCTGATACTATTCAATCACAATCATACAACATTTCACACATCGCTCATTCAAGCCTCCTGATTGTTCAGCAGCATTCACATAAGACCCAATAACGGCCAAGATGTGGACGACACGATTGAAAAAATCGATGCCAGTCGAAATTTTAATCATTACTTACCATGTCCAAGTTGTGATGGCGGTCTATGCTCGAACTTGTATTCTTACGGTTTTGCAGCAATGAGTAATTGGTCGCAGTCCTACATTCGCCGCGTAGCTACGTATATGAGATGCAGATACAGTGCTTTCTCTGTACTTTATGTTCCACAGAACACGTTGGCGCAGTCACACTGGCACCAGCCACCAACAGATCACCGTTACAATCTTTTTCCCTTAAGTAATATTTTTTTATCATTAGCCTAACAAGAGAAGTCGAGGAAAATTCCTCGTTACTGAAGCCATTAATTTTCAGTCATTATTGTACGGAAATTTAAAACTTCAGGCCCTGTTCGAACCAATTGAGGATCCGGAAATCGTATGGCCGGGACAGTCGTGTGGATCGAGTTTCAGCTGGCCGGAAACAGACACTGGGGATGTACATAGATGTTTTTCACAGAGCAATCAGTGCAATTCGGCACTGTTGGGCAACCTTCCGGTTGTTGTAACCGGAAGCGCGTCGATTTATGGAGAAAATAGGTTCCTCTTTTGTTTTCCTGATCGACTGGCGTCCGCGGTATTTAGCTATCCAAAATGCCGGTTAATATCAATACATACATTATCGGTTAATGTTAACCGCAATAGCCATGTGCTTGTTTTCAATTTTCGGATCTGTACTTAAAGGCCAGGGTCAAAAAGAGGGAGGGAAGATTAAAGGGAGGGATTTTCTTTGGTCGAAAAGAGGGAGGGAAAACTAAAGGAAGGGATTTTGAGTGGTCAAAAAGAGGGAGGGAATTTCTGTGGTCAGAAAAGGAAGGGAATTTCGGCGATCCAAAAATTTGAAGAAGTTCAGAGCGAGCAAAATTTGAGCAAAACAACTTTTCAAGCACTACCTCTGGAAGCTGTTGTGGGAACTTTAGATATAGTTTTAGTCTCCCACTTTACAAAAAAATCACATCACATTTTCTCAGCTATATGGAACGTTTTTATGTTCACACGTAAGTACTACTTACAAATTACATTATTTGAGTCTATTTTGTAATCAGGCACGCGAGCGAAGCGAGCATTTCTTTTATATAGCGGACGAGCGAAGCTAGACGGAGTTTCTAATTAATGACATGTGAGTTCTGTAACGAAGAGTCCCATGACCTTTGGGTCGCTGAGTGACTTTTTGGTCGCCGAGAATTTTTCTTAATGAATTTTATACAATTTAACATGGTGAGTCGAACTGAAATCCCTGGTGACCTAGAACCTGGGCCCTCGAGGAAGCCGCCAGGGCCCGTGCCCAAGCTTGGACTTGTATATTTCTAAATATATCTGAATATTTCTAAATATTTCTAAAATATTTCTAAAATATTTCTCAATATTTCTCAATATTTCTCAATATTCCTCAATATTTCTCAATGTTTCTAAATATTCCCGGGAAGGTGCACCGCTGTAGGCTAGCACTACAAGACCGAAGCGAAGCTAGGCGTTATATTAATCCCAGAATGTTGCAGTCCGGTTTATTGCATTAGTACGAGTATAAGTTTCAATGTGAACAGTTAGGAGCTGCCAAATTGTTGAAACTTCGAATATGCGAAACACACATCATGTCTAACTGAGCTTTTGGACTGAGGGCTTTTTAAAATTATGCCGGTTTTTCCGCCTTTTCGGTGACTTAGCGGACCCAACAACCTTGAAACTCTGAGCCTTTTGTTTAACTCGGATCATTAACTGTTCAGGCTGAGGTCTCTTCCTAGCATGAACTGGATTCCTATTAAGGCTAACGTAGCGACCCACAAATATTCGTGACAATTTTTGACTGTCATGCGCGACTACCTACTCAGCCCTTACTTTATATAGAGAGTTTTGACTACAGTAAAACCTGTGACTTTGAACACTCGCGTAAATTGAACACTGGTGTACATTGAACGGTCATTACGGAACCGGCGCGTCTCGTAGACTATAACACAGGGGAGACCTCGCGTATATTGAACATCTGCCTAAAGTGAACATTGAACAAATTAGCTGGAACGAAGCTAATTATTTACTAATATTTAGCCCTTTCGAAAATGAACAAAGTGCCAGAATCTGGTTTGGGAGCGAAAAAACACAAGAAAAGCGCTCAACGGGCCAGAGTTCACTAGCCATTCGCCTGTTCCAACTTTAACACCACACGATTTTTGATTTGTTATGCGGGAAAAAAGCGTAAAAAAGGCTTGGTAGCGGGGTTGTCCCCATTGAGGCGGCGTCCGTTCGCCTTCAGGAGCAGCTTTAGTGCACAGAACCATTGCCCCCAGGGGCGGGCCCCTTGGGGCAGCTGTTCTGTACATTGAACGAAAAAGCTGGAACCGGAGGTGTTCAATGTACGCAGGTTTTACTGTATTAGAATAGAATATTTAAAGATTTAGGTATATTATGAGTACCTCAGTTCGAGTTAGCACGTCAAACTGGAAGCCCTGCTGGCGGCGGCTATCACGGGAGCCCAGGTTCTAGGTCACCAGGAATTTCAGTTCGACTCACCATGTTAAATTGTATAAAATTCATTAAGAAAAATTCTCGGCGACCAAAAAGTCACTCAGCGACCCAAAGGTCATGGGACTCTTCGTTACAGAACTCACATGTCATTAATTAGAAACGCCGTCTAGCTTCGCTCGTCCGCTAAATAAAAGAAATGCTCGCTTCGCTCGCGTGCCTGATTACAAAATAGACTCAAATAATGTAATTTGTAAGTAGTACTTACGTGTGAACATAAAAACGTTCCATTTAGCTGAGAAAATGTGATGTGATTTTTGTGTAAAGTGGGAGACTAAAACTATATCTAAAGTTCCCACAACAGCTTCCAGAGGTAGTGCTTGAAAAGTTGTTTTGGTCAAATTTTGCTCGCTCTGAACTTCTTCAAATTTTTGGATCGCCGAAATTCCCTTCCTTTTCTGACCACAGAAATTCCCTCCCTCTTTTTGACCACTCAAAATCCCTTCCTTTAATTTTCCCTCCCTCTTTTTGACCCTGGCCTACTTAAACGGTTTTAAAAATAATCGGATCAGCTCATCATCTGCGCAAGTTACTAGTAGCTTTGTAGAAGTTTATTAAAATGTGTGCACTTTTCATTCCGTACACTATCTTTTTGCACTATTCTGTAACGGTCAACATAAAACCAAAATAACATAAAACGTGGATTTTATTCTTATTCATAGAAATAAAAACGGCAAGCAGAACATTCATGATTCAGATTATTGTTACATCTAAAGAATATACGAGTATGCAATCGAAATAAAAATGCTGTTCTAAGTGTCCATGAAGTTTGTGGATTTCATAAGTCGCGAAATGCGCTAAAAAAAACGGCATTTAAAAGGATTACGTAATTTAATGAAAGGTGAGTGGGCACTCACAGCGGGCAGCATGCTAGGTAAGCCTGGAAACAATTTAGGTTCAGCTATGGACTTCACACCAATAAATCAGTGGACAGTTTAATGCAGTGCATGCTACAGTCCTGCAGCGCATTTTGCGATTGATACTTAACAATGTGTGCACCCATCGTTGCCGGTTTTCGGGTTCTAAATTTACATCCTGTACAATATAAGAAAACTCCTGCGAAACAAAGCTGTTCGTGTTCTTTGTCAGCCAAATGCAGAAGGAAGTCTTTCTCGTCATCCCAGTATAAACGGCAAGTCTGGCACTGATATCTTGCGCTACTGCATCTCATGGTCGCATTATCTGGCGGAAGCAAGGGCATTTCCGAAGCAGCGGCTACACATTCGTCCGGGGAAGCACTGGAGTATTGCAAAATTTCTTCTTTCTTTTCTCTTTGGTCAGAGATAAGTTGCCCAGGTGTAATTCCTGTATCGAAGCCAACGTCCGGAATATCCATACCCTTCTGATTTTCCGCCACTAAATTGCCACAAAATCTTGTGTTATGTTTGGATGTGCAAACCAGTTATTTGTAGAATATAAAACACTGACTCAATTTCTAAAGCATTTCTTGTTTTAAATTTAGGTTAAATGTCATAATTGATTGTATAAGACAAAAAGCCAATCAATATCTTTCCCTGTGCAGTGGGTACAGTAGCCCGTTAAGTTGTTGTTACGAAGCGATACATTCGCGTAATATGGATCAGCAAATCACAGAAAACAGGTGTGTGATTCGAACGTGAGCATGCTACTTCCTACCAAAAAAAAATAAATCACGTTCGGCGCCGAGTCGCCGAGTCGTTAACCACTGGGCAGGCACCTGCTACGTTATTGTTCCGGGTAGCACCATATCCGTCGTGTTAGAACACATTTTTATATTTTTATGAGGAAACATACAAATAATAATACAGGTCTGCCCATGTATAATCTGTATTGTTATTAAACTGCACAGTATGACCATGATGGTCATACTGTGCACAAGAGATGTGGCGGAAATGACCCCGTGTACGGCGTTAATATTACATGTACATATATACGTTTAGTGACAAAAATTCAAAACAATTGTTTGTATTCATTTTGTGATTCTGTATCCAAAAGTCCAAAACATATAATTTTTATTTTCGCTCGAAAATCGTTTGTGTGCGCAGCATCTTTTTACCGGGACATGACGGATTAAATTGGGCAATCGGCGTCAGGCAGCAAATGTTATGTTATTACGGGCCAATATTACCCAATATTCTCTAAAATTCGCTATTAAAGGCGTGGAAAACGTAATAGAGAATGGAATATGGAATTCAGATAAAGAAAATATAATTTCAGCAAAAACAATGTTGATATTTAGCAATTTTCTGCAGCTGTGAAGCAAATTTTAAGTTTTTTTAATTTTGATTCGTCACATCTCAGCAACCAGATATGTACTTACTTACAAGTGCACGGTAGTGAATACAGCTGTTTCCAGGACAATGTATGCACCTCCTGTGATTTTAGAGTACAGTAACTTTAAAAATAAAACAGTTCTGCTAAGGGTGTACAAAACCGAAATTTTTCTTTATTCAGGGCGATATCAGGAGCCAAACGCGGTTTAAAAATGGTTTTGGTAGCTAAAGCTACGGAGCCTTCACAGCGAAAGTTATCACAAATTAATACTAAACTCCAAAGCGAATGCCGCATATTTTCAAGTGTTTGGTGCGTGACAATAATCATGTTGTGAAAACAGAAGGAACGCTTCATTGCACAATGCACTCACCGCTTCGATCTTGAGCAATGCCCGTTTCCTTCTGACACAGCCCTACATTCTCTGTGGGATATCCGCGTTGTCCATCATCCAGCAAAATACTAGCACCAGCCGCACGTGCTTCGCCTGGGGACTTTGACAGCAGCAAATCTTCGGCGAGTGGATCCAGCTGATGTCCAAATTCTTCTGGATTGCTTCTTTTTCCACAACACGAATTCGGTAGCAGCTGTAAATTATTCTGATCCAGGATCATGGCAGTGTCATCATGATTATTATATCCTGTGGACTGCAACGCCGATCTTTTTGCCAATCGTGTTTTGGGAGGTAAACCGGCGTTCCTCAATATGTTTTTCACCTTAAACTGCGAAGTTCTAACGCGATCTCTTATCGCTCGGAGAGACCAGCCCTGCTCGAATAGCTTGAGAACAGTCGGTCGCAATGCGTCGTACTTTTTTTGATTCCGTCCGCGAAAGGTCCTACCCGCTGCGAGCAAAAGTTGCTTGATGTAGTGGACAGACACACTGGTCTCCTGCATAATGTAACAGCAAGTGTGACCTTCGTCGAACAAATCCAGGATTTTCTGTATGTCTTTAGGAGTCAGGGTATACACGTTCCGCGTCCTGCTAGTTTCTGTCCCTTTCTCTGATACGCTCTGCGATGTTTGGATGCTAGATGGCGAGCATGACTGGTCCAACAAGTACTGAACAGTTGTGGAACAGTTACTTGCAACCGCTGGTAAGTAAGTGCAGTTGATGACACTATTATTCCGTTTTCTAAACATGCCCGTCCTGCCGGCTGCGCACAAGATCTGCTTAATGTAGTAACGGGTCAAGTAAGTCTTGCGCATAATGTAGGAGGCAGTGTGACCTTTGTCGAATAAATCCACGATTTCTTGTTGTGCTGGGTCCTCGGCATTAAAACGCTGATCCCATCTTTGTTCCCAGTGTGGCTGCACCTCCTTTATTTCGGTTTGCATTTTTGGCACTGAGCGGCGACGGCGTTTGGTTTCGGTAGGGGATTGCCTGCACTGATGTTCCCAGAATTTCAACAGCAGCAGAAATTTGCTGCTGTTTCAGTAGATATCCACTCTTCCCAGCACAGTTTACGTACATTGATCTACTGGCAAACCTGGTCAAATAAAAAACCGCAATTATAATAAGATTGAACAAATTGCGATTTTCTTGGTTGATTAAAGAGAACTAGGGAAAACCTTACTGATTTTTATCTCAAAACCTTCTGCTCAGTTCTATACCAAAGGAATGCTGCGTATTACAATCAAACTTGTAGTAGTAAAGCACATTAATCTCTACGACATGCAATAGAATCATCATTGTACGGTATGCTGTAACTAAAAAAAGCTCAAAAAATTTTACGATTTCTGGTGAAAACGTTTTCAGTAAAACAGGCAAACTGAAGTTTCTAGAAAGTTGCGAAATCGAGTTAGCGTAAAAAGTCAATGCAACGGTCGGTCCAGACCGCACGACCGTAAGCAAACTGCGTGCACTCTGGAACCTTTCTGAAACCAGTCAGCCCAAACTACACACAAACTAGGCATCAGAAATCTTAATTTTTTTTCTCACTCTTTTATGGGAAGTGGGCCGGTACATGGTACCCAATTCGTGTACATGCACGAAAACGTACACTTACGCGCACTCCCAAACATATTTTTGTTTCGATTTATGACATTCTGCAGCCAGGAGATTTGTGAACACTAGTGTGAAAACCGTTTGTGCGCGCAACATCCGGTTCGGGAGTTACGGCTGTTAAAAAATTCCAAAAAGTTTAAATGCATTCAGGTGTACCAAAAGTCTCATTATGGACCGATCTACCTCAAATTTTGCATGTAAATGCGCATGTTAATGAAGATCGTTTTTACACCGATCCAGACTTCCATGACTTTTTTCAAATTTTAAAATGAATTGTAAAATTTGTTAAATTTTTTTAAAAATTTGAAAAACATGCTAGATCAGTGGATCGGTGTAAAAACGTTCTTCGTGGTAATGTGCATTTATGTGCAAAATTTGAGGGAGATCGGTCCATGATGAGACATTTGGTTCACCTGAATGCATTTAAACTTTTTGGATTTTCTAACAGCCGTAACTTCCGAACCGGATATCGCGCGCACAAACGGTTATCCCACTAGTGTATACAAATCTTCTGGCTACAAAATGTCATAAACCGAAACAAAATGTGTTTGGGAGTGCGCGAAAGTGTAAGTTTTCGTGCATGTACACGAATTTGGTACCATGTACCGGTCCACTTCCCTTAAGCTGTAGGTCACCCGTTTTGAATTTGAACAAATCTCAAATTTGTCATAGCAACCTGCGAGCTGTAACGCAGTGCGCTGGTGGATGGGTTGCCTTATCATGACGCAGCACCGGAAGCAGGCGTGTCGCTTTTTTGCCTTAATAGTGCTGCCATGGTAACAGCTAAGCATTGTTCTCGGCATGTGGCTACGGCTGCCACCCATTTCGCCTACGGGACATTTCGCCTAAAAATTTGTTTCGAATCATAAAATATTAACAGCTGAAAATTACAGAAAAAAAATTAACCTACGAAACCTAAGAAAACTTAAGAAAGCATGGAAATATAAGAAAAAAAAAGAAACCGCAAGAAAACGCTTTTGGTATTTGCGCTATTTATGATTCGATTTGAATTTTTAGGCGAAATGTCCCGTAGGCGAAATGGGATGATACGAGGTTCACCAGTGTGGTGCTGTAACCACTACAGCACCACACTGGTGAACCTCGCATAATTATGTAATACACGAATTCTTACGCCGGCGTCCATCGATCGAGATTTATTGGGGCAACACGCGATTACCGTTCTCGGGACTATGAATAGAGAACCGATAATTTCATAGATTTAGCTGCTCTATTTAATTTGTTTTTGTTACAGCCTGGTTAATGGAAATGGCTTCGGCAAATAAAATATTAAGCAGTCTAACTATGTTGTGCTCATTGTGTACAAGGAAATATGCATTTAATACGCAAACTATAAGAAAAATACCATCTACCGCCTAAGTAATATAAAATTAGCAACGCTAATCAACAAAGTCCGGAAAGAGTATGCCTGTTCATAAATGCAGTCGTTCGGAGATCACCCTCACACTTTTAGTGGTACTATAACTGTCCATAAGAACAACTAAAAGTGCAATGTAATTTCTTATCATACCTCTAGTTTTATCTGTGCATTGTAATTCTTATCATACCTCTGGTTTTATCTGCAGTCAGTTTTTATATGAGGAAAACCATCATCACATTTTCTCGTACTGCTGCTATAACGAAAGATCCACTCAAGGTGTTTAGAAATTGTTCGGAAGCAAGGATCTATAAAAACTCTTCATCATCTGGATGCTTATAATCTGCGTCGTCCTCCATATCAGAATCACCGTCTGGTCCTTATTTTTTTAATTCTTACATCATCGATTAACAATTACCTTTCCGTCTGCGAAATGATAGAAGACAGACACAGTACCTCGCATGCATAGTTTTAGTAGTTATTTCCGTGGACAATCCTATCAGTTTTTCGGCAGGACGCAGAAGAAAAAATAAAATAATATTCTTACGACGATATACGAGTACGACGTATATTAGAACGACTTCAATCAGTAAAGTATCAGCTGGGAGGCAGAAGATGATCCATAGAAATGTGGTCGGGACATGAGAGCTTAAAAGTAATGCAGTGCATTTGGATGATTCTGTGTTTCAAGCTCAGCCCGGTGACTGCGTCACTGCAGAATAAGCGGTACTGTGCTACGAGTAATAAGAATAATCGGTCGCTTTCTCAAACATGAAAATTATCTGCAGCCGGCAAAGCGATACCAGTACGGCACTGTACGGAGGCAGCTGCGGTTTAATATCCGCACTCGCACCGACCTAGCTGCACCACAGACTGCAGTCGGTTTTTCATAAATATTGCCACGCAACACACCGTGTGTTGGCATCTTGCGTGGCAGTGTTTGTGTACTTGCTGTTTGAATTTTTACGTAGGAGTTACGGGACCGGCGTGTACGTGTGTTACACGGGTAGAAGCCAGGACAGGACAGGTTTGTACGTGTGTTACACACGTACAAGTCTGTCTTGTAATTCCTCGTAAAGATGCAAATAGCAAGTACACCGCGCTAAGTCTGCGCTAACGTAAGAGCGGCGGCCATAAGCTACTTTTGTCACAATAACAAATTCGGTCCTCCCAATATGTGAGCTACTTCGATGTTTCTGGCATTCATTCAGGCAACTTCCACTGGACCATCACACAACTTGGCACTAGATCCACCCTGCTGCAGTAGCAAACGTTTCTGAACGTGGCTACATAACAGACACACCCATTTCAGTAAAAACTGCATTAAACACGAGATTACCAGCGGTTCTGTCATTTTGCGTCAACCGACAGAATGTCGTCAGAATGCCACTCTACATGGTATGCCGTTAACCCAGGAAAACCAGGTAAGAGAAGACATGGGAATTCGGACTGAAAACTTGAGTTTCGGATAAACAATTCAATTAAGAAGGAAACGGTTTTTTTAAAATTTCAGTGACCATAGGTCGAGCAGGGCAGGGCCATCTCGAGCTAACACGCATGGGATCCACGTTTCACCGACATGTTATCGAATAATTCGAAGGCAATTTATAACAATTGATAAAAAATTCGCACAAAAAATGCCGATAGCTCTCAGCTCGATAGATCTCAGCGAGTACTTGAACTTGAAGACAGATGCATTATAATTGTCATCGAGATGACCAGTGGTCAAGGAGATTTAAAAAAACGATAAATCACTGATATGCACCACCACAAAAGCGCTACTTCGATATTTCGCAACATTTGGTCACTTTTACTATGCGTTGTGGACGATTGGTCATCGGCCTCGATGAGGATCCCAGTTTGAGCAACGTTTACAGCGAAACTAGTACTATATTGGGTTATGCAACTGAATGGAAAACAGAAAGCTTGGCTGGGATGATCGCCATCGTTAATTGACCGGTGGCCAAATCTTTAAACGTTTTATATAAATGACCAACTGGTTAGAAATACCGGAGTGTCGCATAGAAGGGTCGGCAATGTTTTGCTAAAAAAAACCATTACTTACTATACTCGTACAAAACAATAAAATTTACTATTCAGAAAGGAAGACAGGGCTTCTCCTTGCCGGCGTGCGCTAGGTGGCATTTACTAAACAATATCAACCGTCCAAAATGTGTGGGACTGATGGTTTGTACTTGTACTTTGCACTTTACATTTATGTCTGACCATGAGTCGGCACCGCTGCTGGCTAATGCCTAATTGCTCATATTGACGCTTGGCCTTACTGCGAAATGCTGTCTACTGCTGTATTCACCGGTTTTGCACGGATTGATTTTTAAAGCTTAGAAGGGCTTGTGAACCGGAAGATACGAATGCAAGGGCAGAAGCTTAACTAACAGAGAATAAACGCAACGTTAGTAACGTTTACAGGATTTCTCGCTCATTACAACAGTTCGAATAAAAATAAATATGCAAAGAATATACGAATTTTTTCAGGAACTGGCTGTAGCTGGGTTGCCAGTTTTATGGCAGTAAATGTAACGTCCACACAATCATACTTATGCAGATGCATTGTGCAAGCTTCTGAATCTACTGCCTGGCATGAGTGCACTCCGAAGCTCCTACAATGCATATTTTGCAGCCGTTACTATTGCTACTACCGCATGTGCAGAGTAGTACATGCGGTATTCATAGTACTTACATAGATGCTATAGTAACGGCCGCAAAGGTAGTCGCTAATGCTATAGTAACCTGTGCTAAGTGCGATTTTTATTGTACTTCATACTGATAAAGGTCTAAGTCGGCGTTGTCAGTTTATTTCTTGCAAACTCTAAACTGCATGTTCATATGGTTCATATAAGTGAACAGATTTGCACTAACTCGATTTATCGATGATAGTAACTGTTAATATCGGGGACGCCGCATCCGGGAGCGAAGTATATTAGCTATGCGCCCCTATTACCGAATGGGCTATTCATATCACGTTGCAAAAATTACATCCCATTCCTCTTGCCCACGAATTTATTGTATTTAACTTCAAACAGCAACAATATGAAATGAATGCTACAATTTTAAAACGGAATGCCGTTCATCTCCTCTAGATCGTCTCTGATCGGACAATTCAATTTGACCCGTAACAGCTCAGCCTCTGCAGCCGAGAGCTTCATTACGCCCACTGCCGGCTTTGTCATTTCATGGGAAAAACAACCGCTCTTTATTGGTGCCTTCGAAAGTATTTCTGTTTCAATAATCTTTTTCAGCCACTGCCGGAAACCGCCTTCGTCTTCGTAATCTGATGTTTCTGGGTTACACGACATTAATAAATCCAGAGCGAAGGCGCAGGAATATACAGCGCAGTTATTGGAACTGCTGGCTTGTTTTGGGACGGATGGTATGATTATGCTGACATCCTCGCTTTCTCCGCAAAGCGTCCATATCTGGAGCAATATCCACGGACTGGGCTTTAATCCCAGCGAATCGTACAGCGTGACAGCACGAGTATGTGGATCGATCCTCGCCGTAACGAAGTGGTCTCTCATGTCAAACAGCGGTTGAATAATCGTTTTCCCATTTGCATAGTCGGCCCTTATGGTTTTCATAACCTCGTAGCCGGGTTGGCATCTTTGTACCCATAATGGGCTGAGAAAGCCAGTGAATGGTTTCGACGCTGTAATACTTCTTCGGGCCAACGCACAAAAAGCGGCAACCACTTTCGTATCGATGTATTCACCCAGTGTTGATACGGCGCGGATATCAGATTGGTGTATGGCAAATTTTCCCGCCACGTATTTTACCAAGCGATTCCTTCCGCCCGTTTCCTTGTGATTCTCATCACAGCTTTTTTGCCTTTTCCCAGAAACATGGTGTAGTTCTTCGTCGGGCAAACTGTCAATGGTTATAACCGGGGGGCTCGTGAGACGTCGTTTGCTCGTGTTCATATACAGCTTTGTAGGTGGGGCATCGGGTGCTTCCGGTTTTTCCGAGTTTTGGGTTGCGTAAAATCCTAAATCACTCTCCGGGGCATCGCGAACCAATTCGAATGGTGGCAAACTTCTCTCTGGTCTTTTGCCGCTTCCAATCTCTTTTGGTTCGACGTTCGCTGGCAAAAGCGTGGGCGTATCATTGTCGTTTTTCGGTGGATCTGTCTGGCATGAAACCGTCGTCATTTTCGTCACCGGAATTACGCGAAACAAAACTCCTTGATTTAGATAGTCAAACGCCCGCTGCATCTGCTGCTGAATGAACAAGTTTTTGTTGGTATTGTGTGCTGCAGTTACAGACGAAAGGTAGTTTGGCAGAATTTTAGATATTTCGTTGAACTTCGCCGGTGAAAGATACAACTTCTTTTCGATTGATTCGTCTCCCTTGTTTTCGGCTTCCTGGCTTTCCTTGCATTCGTCCATATGCCCATCTAATGCATTCAACATGAGTTCGTCATTAAGGTCAACGTGCTCGGCATCGACCGCCCTTCGAACTTCAGGCTGGCAAACCGCGTTGAACTGTGTACCGCCAGGAGCAGCACTTGTATCAGCGTCACGTAGTGCAGCCAAAGGTGCCTATAAACACGTAGCAAGATTTCTTAATAAGTTGTTAAAACACTTACAAGATAACCATAGACATTATCAGGAAACGTACAGCTAATAATAAACTAATCGGCCGTCTTTATACAGTTTACGAGTGTATTCATGAAAGGCACCACTCGTAGTGATTGCACAGCCTGAATAGTCCAATAAAAGTATCGTGTTATATGGTAGTGGGCTTGCTCACTTACACCAGGCAACTGGGATATCGGAGATCCGTTGTGGCTGAAATCCCTCTCACAGACATCTTGATGAGATTTGACGTCCAACGGGAAACACGCATCGATGTGCTGCACTATTGCGTCGTAGGAGCATCCGTGTTCGCAAAGTTCCAGAATGGCGGACCACAACTCCCGGTACTGACTTCCGTCCGGGTCCATGGTCATTTGCCCCGCTTGCACGACCGGGTTTGGCAGCGCGTTGAGCGAATTGATGGATGGTGTAATAGGCGGCCGGCTGGACGTTTCACGCTGTTTGTTTTCTGGAGTACCGCAACGTGCCTCGCTCGGAGGTGAGAGCGGTCGTACGGTATCCGCTATATTCTCCAACATGGGGAGGTTGGGTGCAACACCGTCATATTCCTCGCTAACTGATCCCTCATAAAGATCGCTTTCTAGTATGAGAACAGGCAAACAAATCAACGCACATGGTGCAGTAAAACTTGATATTTTACCGTAACCCGCATTCGCTATGTGTACGAGTTATTTTTCAACTTGAATACAAAGCTCTACAAGCACACATACCGTTCTGGCTATCCGTATTGTCTAGTTCTTCAATCGCATGAGTTTTCGACTCTTCTTCAGCTTCTCTGTGACAAACCAACGAAGTGAACTTAAATGGCTTTTTTGGCTAATATTTAAAAAATGTTTTGATATGTAACAGTGGCAGCACGTCTGCGGTTGCGTCTTTGTTTAGCGCTGGTTTTTAACGAACCTGGCTGGTTGAGACGGGGAATTGTTGGATGTTTCTGGACGATGACTTCGTGTACCGGGCGTAAGGATACTCCGCAAACGCTTCATCGTGAGACCGGTTGCCTTTGCCATAGTGGATATGTCGTACTTTCCCCGGAAAAATCGTCACACGAAGTTATTTGCGGCTCGTCATGACTGCTGACCGCGGAAGAATTGTGGTCTTCCATTTCTGGAAAGTACCAAGGTGATTGAGAATCGATGAATGTCTGCTGGCAGCGTAATTTCATTCCAGCTTTAGAAGACATGAAAAGTAATAAAGATTAGGCCTTTGCAAGAGCTCTAGAGTGCGTGAGACAGGTCGTGAG